TGAATAAATACTTGCACACATTTTTGAAGTGTGGCGAGATTCTCAGATTCGCCTTTCTTTCAGGGAAGATAACTTTCAATCTGTATAAAAATTTCTGTGTCCTAAACTGCCTTTCTTTATTTTGAAGAGATTTACTAACTTAGATATAATCTAAAATTAGATGATAGATTTGGTTTTAGCCCTTTTGTTTGGTCTATCAATATAAGAAGAATATTTTAGGTTTATAGCTGCAGTTATCAAGGTTTAATAAAGTAAATTTCTGACAGATTACCAGAAAATGTAGTATAATTTAATTTTTTTCTAAATAAGAAAAAAGGAAATGAACTACTTTTTTTCCCCTTCCTTATCTCCTTAAAAGAAAAATAAAATTGTACATGAGGGGAGGCTCCTGTAGGTTATTACTATTATTGTGTGTTCTATAGGAATCATTGAGGACATCACAGCAAAAACAGCAGGTCAGAATCATAAAATTCAATTTAAGAGTATACGAGTCCTTTTACTAAGTTTGCTCCTAGCCTGGGCAACATAATGAGATCCCATCTCTACAAAAAAAAATTTGTAGATAGGCACACCTGTAGTCCCAGCTAGTCAGGAGGCTGGGATGGGAGGACTGTTTAAGCTCAGGGGTTCAAGGCTATAGTGAGCTATGACTGCTGGCGGCACCACTGCACTCCAGCCTGGGCAACAGAGTGAGATCCTATGTCAAAAACAAAGTGTTTTCCCCACATACCTGCAACACAACCAGTCTTACTTCTAAAATGTTACAATCTTTTTCCCAAGTGGCTACATTAATAAAGTATAGAAAAATGGGCTTGAATAGCTGGTAAAATGTTAAAATGTAGAAATGAAAGAATTATATCTGAAAAACTCAATGCAGAAGACAAAATAAGAGAAAACAGGCCCTGGTATCAACAGAATTAACAATACATAAAGGGAGTAACTTTTGAGGGGAGAGGGTCTAAAATATTTTGAGGAATTACCAAGGGGAGTAAAACAATGTCACCTTGAAATGATTATATATATATTATCTATGTGTATCTATAGCGGACCTACTTATATCCCCCTGCTACCCTGCTGTCTGAAATACATAAAAAAATGATAATGTTGAAGATATCAATGAAAATAGCTAATGTCTATTCCTAGACGACTTAGTGTCAGCCACTATGATAAGCTAAAGTTGATTATTTTATTTGTTCATTCCACCAATCCTTTGAGGTAATATTTGCAGCTCAGATAACCTGCCGACTGTCATTCAGCTAGACCAAGAAGCCAGCAGTCAAAACAAGGCTGCCTACCTCCGGGGGCAACATGATTGTCACCTTGCTTCCCTGCCTCCAAAGACTATCTGCTTCTGGCTGACCAGCACCAATAAAGGAGTGAGCTGGCGAAGTCTCACTGAGAAAAATCAAGAGGGCACTTTCTTTGGCTCATCTAGAAGAGCAGCAAGTTTCTAGAGCCAATCCCTTCTTCTTTAGGAGTGAGTGAGAGACACCATTTCAGCATAACTGGCAGTGTGACACCATGATGGCCCCAACACCACACACACACACACACACACACGTGTATCACATGCACACACGGAGTCTATATAAAGGGTGTAGAAAGGCAACTGAACAAGTCCTTGTCCAAAATGTGAGCACCACAAATTTTCATCTGTGTTATTCACTGATATGTTGCTGAGTCCAGTGCCTGGCAGCCAAGTATATGCTCATAATGAGTGAATTTAAGGGAAGCCAAGTTTCCATAAAGTTATTCCTTCACCTCACCTCCTAAGACAACCGCTTGACTTGTAAATTTGCTGGAAGTCTGAGAAAAGGAAAAACAGACAGTGACTTCTCTTGAGTTCAACTGAGCCCCAGAAATCTCTGACTTGCCTGAGGGTGTGGGCAGAAGACTGAGGGAATAATGGCACAGGCCTCAGAGAAACAAAAAGTGCTCCCTCAGGTCTCTGATAACTTTTCAAGTCCTGAAAAGTAGATAAGAAGTTTGGCTACCATGAATAGGACCAGTCAGTTTCTAAACATCACCATTCTAAACGCCAAAGGACACCGTTCCCAGAGAAGACTGCTAGAAAGCAGGATGAGTTGGGAGAAGGTTGATGAGATTAAGGGTGAAAGCCTGACATCTGCCAAAGCATAAGACAGGAAGGCAGAAACTTGAGAGGAATGTAGCATGACCCTAGCAGCCGGAAGAAACAGTCGAATCTCTCAAGGAACTCCTCAAGTGTAATGATGCTGGCTGCTCAGGCTTGAGTCCCTCACCAGCCCAGCCAGACCATGGTTTACAAACAGCGAGCTAAATCAGCAACCTCAACAGAAGCTGTGTCAAGTGATCATGTCTAAAGGCTGTTGATTAATGAGCTGATGTCAGCTTGGTGGAAGGTTATGAAAGCATGGTGTCACCAGGTTGCCCTAGGACCTATTTGTAATATTCCCTGACAGAAAGCCTATACCTGGAAAAGTGAGAAACGTGGGAAGGCAATTTATTCAGGGTAAAAGCTTTGGAAGACTAAAGAATTCATACTGCTGAAAAAACTCTTATCATTTTAATGTCTTTAAATCTGCCATGATGCTCCCATTATCATTCCTGATTTGGTAATTTGTGCCTTCTTTTTTTCCTGATAATTCTTCCTAGAGGCTTATCAATTTTATTAATCTTTTTTAAAAATCAGCTTTTGGTTCCATTGATTTTCTCTATTATTTATCTGCCCTTATATCATTGTTTCTGTTCTTATCTTTATTAGTTCTTTCTTTCTGCTTATTTTGGATTTAGTTTGCTCATTTTTTTCTGTTTTCTTAAGGTGGAAGCTTAGATCATTGACTTGAGATGTTTCTCTTTTCTAATGAAAGAATTTATTGCCTTAATTCTCTCTAAGCGCTACTTTAGCTGCTCCCCATGCATTTTGATATGCTGTGTTTTCATTTTCATTCAGTTCAAAGCACTTCATAATTTATTCAGTCATTTCTTCTTTTATTCAGGGGTTATTCAGAAGTGTATCACTAAGTATTTGAATAGCTGGAGATTCTCTAGGTATCTTTCTGTTATTAATTTATAATTTAATTCTACTGTAAGACATACTTTGCATACCCTTCCATACTTTGAATACTTTTCAATTTATTGAAAGTTGTTTTGTGGACTACAATATGTTCTACTTCGTACATTTTCCATGTGCACTTGAAAAGAATGTATTCTGCTGTTCCTCATTAAAGTGTTCCATATCAATTGTCACATCCTCTCTATCCCTACTGATTCTGTTTACTTGTTCTATCAGCTGAAATTCTGAACTACAAATGTGGAGTTATTTCTCCTTTCAATTGCATCAGTTTTTGCTTCATGTACTTTGAAGCTCTGGCATAAACATTTAAGATTGTTAGGTATTCTTGATGTCTTGACCCCTTTACCATTATGAATTGTCTCTCTTTACCTCTGTAAATTCTTTGCTCTGAAATCTTCTTGTCTGCTATCAATAGAGCTACTCCAACTTTCTTCTGATTAATGTCTGCATGGTGTATCCATTTCTATCCATCTAGTACCGTTCTTTCTGCCTGAAAAACTTCCTTGAATATTTTTTAGGAGTGCAGATCTGCTACTGATGAATTCTCTCAGCAGTTGTTTGGCTGAAAAGTCTTTGCTTCATGTTCAATTTTTAAAGATAGTTTAAAGATACTGCTCCAGGCCAGGCACTGTGGCTCATGCCTGTAATCCCAGCACTTTGGGAGGCTGAGCCGGGTAGATCACCTGAGGTCAGGAGTTTGAGACCTGCCTGGCCAACATGGTGAAACCCTGTCTCTACCAAAACTACAAAATTAGCCAGGAGTGGTAGCGGGCGCCTGTAGTCCCAGCTACTCGGGAGGCTGAGGCAGGAGAATCACTTGAACCCAGGAGGCAGAGGTTCCAGTGAGCAAAGATTGCACCATTGCACACTCCAGCCTAGGCAAAAAGGGCAAAAGTCTGTCCCCAAAAAGAAAAAAAGATATTGCTCTTTTGCCTTTTTGCCTTAATATTTTCTGATGAAAAGTGTGCTCTCATTATTTTTCTCTGAATGCATGTGTCATTTACTACCAAGTTTTAAGATTTTCTCTTCAATTTAGTTATGACATATTGTTTTATTGCCATGTTTCTTCTTCAGGTTGGTTAAGCTACTTGAATCTGTGAGTTTATAGTTTTCAACAAATTTTGGGGAAAATGTGACCATTATTTCTTTAAATTTTTTTCTATCCCCCTCCCTTCTTCTGAGAAGCCACTTACATATATATTAGACTACTTGATAATGAAACATAAAACTTATACTCTTTTTTAATTGCTCTTTTCTTTGTACTTAATGTCAGATTTCTATAGCTATGTCTTCAAGTTCATTAATCTTTTCTACTCCAGTATCTAATCTCTTAATCCTACTCAATGTATATTATTACTTCAGATACTGTATTTTTCATCTCTAAAAGTTCTATTTGAGTCATTTTTATATCTTCCATTTATCTCTTCTTTATGCTTTCATCCACTACTTGAACATTATTTATAGTAGCTTATCTATTGTATTTGTCCATTTTCACACTGCTATAAAGAACTACTGAGCCTGGGTAATTTAGAAAGTACAGAGGTTTAACTCATTCACAGTTCCACAGGCTTAACAGGAAGCATGGCTAGGACACCTCAGGAAACTTAACAATCATGACAGAAGGCAAAGGGAAGCAAGCACATCTTAGCAAGGTGGAGCAGGAGAGAAAGGGGGAAAAGGGGAAAGTGCACACACTTTTAAACAACCGGAGCTCATGAGAACTCACTATCATGAGAACACTAAGGGGAAAATCCACCCCCATGATCCAATCGCCTACCACCAGGTCCCTCCCCCAAAACTGGGGTTTATAATTCAACATGAGATTTGGGTTGGGACACAGAGCCAAACAGTATCATTCACTAATGCTATCATCTGTCATTCTGAGTCTGTTTCTATTGACCAAAGATTGTCTTGACTGTGGATTGCATTTTCCTTTTTTTTTTTCGCAAGGCCTGGTAATTTTTTATTAGATGCTAATCATTGTGAATGATTAGCATTTGGTGCTGGCTTTTATTGTAGTTTTTATTTTTATTTTGAGCAGTTGTCTCCCTTTGGATAAGGTTAAGAGTTACTTGAAGTCACTTTGATCCTTTCAAATGCTTCTCTTAAGCTTTGTTAGGGCAAGTCCAGAGTAGTCTTCAGTCTATTCCCATCTCCCTAACCTAACCCTAACCCCACTCTGGCAGTATTTTGCTGAAGACTCTACTCAATGATCCATGTACTATATTAAAAGATCTTTCCACTATTGCTGAAACACATATTCTTCCCGGCATTGTATAAGCTCTGAGGAATTTTTCTTTTCTTTTTTTTGGCGGGGGTAGGGATGGCAGAGTCTCACTCTATTGTCTAGGCTGGAGCACAGTGGCGCAATCTCGGCTCACTGCAACCTCTGCCTCCTGGGTTCAAGCGATTCTCCTGCCTCAGCCTTCCAAGTAGCTGGGATTACAGGCACCCACCACCATATCCGGCCAATTTTTTCATTTTTAGTAGAGATGAGGTTTCACCATGTTGGCCAGACTAGTCTCAAATGCCTGACCTCAAATGATCCATTTGCCTCGGCCTCCCAAAGTGCCAGGATTACAGGTGTGACCCACCAAGCCCGGCCCTTTGAGGAATTCTTCATCACTCCTTTCTCCTTTCTGTCATTCAGCCTCAGGCAATTTCCTGCCTCCATTTTGTTTTCTTCCTTTAAGGAATATTCCATTTTTATTTGGCATACAAAATGAGGTTACTCTGAGATCATCTTGAGTCTCTCAAGGCTTATTTTTAAGCTTTGTTAAAGCCTTTAGTCTAGTGCCAGTTTGGATCTCTTATGAAAGCATGGCCTTTCTGAGTCTCTAGTCAATGCTCCACATGTTCAAGATCTTTCCACTTTAACTGGTTGGCGTTCAAATATCTCCCAGCTCTGTGTGAGCTCTGAGAGTTTTTCATCTTATAACTCCCTGGCAGTTTTTCTTTTTCACCTAAGGTAATGTATATGCATCTAAGTCTATTTAATTATAAGTTAATAAACTTTTCATTTTAAAAGACTTATATGTATATTTTCAGAAGCAGCAAGGTAGACAAAACACACACACACACACACAGGTGAAAATTGTATCTGATCCTAAAGTCAGTCTTTTGGAAAAGACAATTTCATTAGATGGATGCTGACAGCCATTGAGAGAAAAGGAAAGCAGGCTGAGTTTCTGGGGACTACCACAAGAAAAAAAGAGAACATACAGAGCTGGCCCCAACCTCAAAAGTGATCCTACATCTAACCAAACTGAAAAATCCACATGAGGTTTCTCAATATCTATCGTAAACAATTTATCAAGATATCTGGTTAGCACTTAGGGTACAATGTGATAATGGGACATAATTTTTCTTGGAAAAATCTGGGTTAGAACCACAGCTTTGACTTCATTTACATTTAACTAATAATCTGGGCCCCTATATGGAAGTAGCTTAAATGCCTTGCAGATTAACCATGGACTAAGAACTTTCTTTGATCTTGAATACTCTTCCAAAACACAACCACGGGGCTCCATTTCTCACCCAATATAATTATTCCTGAGCAGAGCATTATCAAATAATATCAAGACAGAGACTGGCTTGGGGTAGTAAGGTAAAAGGATTTAGCTAAGTAGCAACCCAAATATGAACAAGGAAATGAGCTTAAGACACATTAAGCATTTAGAATAAGCCCCACCTGATTGATGACCATGGTGAATTAAGCTTCATCTTCAATTATTGATATTAATGACCTACTGTGAGCAAGACGATCTCTAAGGTACTTTCTAATTGTGAAATATTATTCTGTCTTACCTATCAGGCATAACTGATAGCCTATTACTACGTGTGTTTTATTGACTACATTTCTGTCTGTCTTACTAAAAGTAAATAGTTCAATTGTTGTCATCATTCAAAGGTGCCACCACTTTTATTCGTTTACCAGATCACAAGATGATACTGGTCCATTACCCTTGACCTAGTCAGACCTTGACAAAAGACTTAATGATGCTATTTAGGATGCATTTCCTTGCTGCTTTGTGCAGGTGGCTTTCTCATTGTTGCATAGACAGTGATAGGAACATCAGTTATTGTCAGGCAATGACTTCCAGGGCATCTCCGGAGTTGCCTGAATAAAAAAGCAGATGACATGTAGTTAGATACTAAAAAGGGGAAATATCTTTTTCAGAGCATCCAAATTTTAGTGTATATTTAACTGTTTAAAATCACTGTGAAATCTCTGAATGTCATAAAATGAGTACAACATGGTGTTGCTGATGAGGCACCTATTTTAGACTGATATAACAAAGAAATTGTGGCCTTTACCATAGATTTAATCACAGGAAATTCATATATTCAAAGATAATCCTCCAGATGTTCATTTTGAAAGGTATGTAATGATTGCTAAATGGCAAAACAAAGTGCATAGTTACAAACATAAGTGATAATACCATGGCAATTCATGTGCATATGCACCCTGAAATCACTTCAGTTGAGTGATTTCAAAATGAGAATGTTTGTGGCAAAATACAAAACTGAACATAGTATTCCACATACTGTTCAAATGTTGACAGACTCTCAGATTTGAAATGGCCCTTAAATGACACCTAGTCCAAAAATACATCTTATATATGAATTTCCTTTCCAACATTTCCACCAATTAATAGTCACTCAGCCCTAAACATTTCTAAAGACTGGGAGCTCACTATTTCCCAAAGTAGCCTATTTCATTCTTTACTAACTCCCATTTGTAAGTACCTACACCCTGTTAAACTTAAATCTGTGTTTCAAAAGTTTCCAACCATGAGAATCTAACAATGTAGTATCTAAAGTTTTGCTATGATAAATATCAGAGAAGTGGAACTAACCATTTTGCAAAACTGCTTTGTCTCATAGAATCTTCATACTCTATATCACTCTTTCTGCCAAAGGCCACAGCAAAGCCAAAGTGACACCAAATTTGAGGTCTAAGTCTTTTTCATATTTTTAGCCTTATGCCTAGCACAGTGCCCTGTACATACTAACATTGAAGGTTTGTTTGTTTAATTGAATGTTACCTAATCATGAAGCTATCAACAAAACAGTCTATTAGGCTGATACAAAGGTAATTGTGGGGATTTTTGGTTAATAGCTAAAAATGTACCAGAAAGAGAGAGAATGAATGGGTCTATCATCAAGACTTACAGAAATACAAAATACAGACTCTATACTAAGGAAACCTGGGCTCTGTTAATACTAATTTAGAAACAACAATGTTTTTGAATTCCTGAGAATTTTTTCTTGCTTATACTGAATATCAGCTGAAGGTTATATTGATGATAGCCAATACATATTTCCTCAGTTGTCAGGATTGAAGACTTTACCTGGTTGGTGACATCTCCTTCCCATTACAGGCAGCACTGGAGCTCATCCCCGGTTCCAGCCCAGTTGAAGAATCTCCTCCTTCCACTGGAAACCTCCTTGGCTGGGTTCCAAACTGAAAAGGCATAATTCACTGAAAACCTAGATTAGAAAGTTAAAATATTGGGGGTGGAGACAGATTGTCATCAAAGACTTGTACAGAATTTTTTTAGGAATCAGAGTCTTATTATGTTGCCTAGGCTGGAGTGCCGTGGTTATTCACAAGTGCAATCATACTGCACTACAACCTTGAACCCCTGGGCTTAAGCGATCCTCCTGCCTCAGCCTCCTTAGGAACTGGAACTACAGGTGCACACATGCCTGGCCTTGGAATTTTTAATATTACTATCTTGTTATAGACATATAGAAATATTCTGAGTGTTATTTTACTTATAAATAGCTATAAAAGTATTTCACACCTATCCCTTATGTACAATTTAAGTCTTGCAAAAAATACAAAATAGCCACCAAGTGATACAAGGATAGTGTGCCCGATGGTTAACATAACTGAAGTCCATTTCTGCTGTGTGAAGACAAAATTCGGTTTTCCTTTAAATAGTTGTTACAATCAACACTCACCTCTCTACCTATCTATACTCTTCTCTTCACTTTGGAGCACAGAATTTTGCATTCACCAAGATATCTTCAGCTAATCCTTCTGCTCCAGGTGATTATTCATTTCCCCCTGCTTCTTTATAGTCACAGTAAAGTAGTTAAGAAAGTAGCCTTGGGAAAGCTGGATTTATCTGAGTTCAAATGCTGGTTCTGGCCCTTCCCAACTATGTGATCCAAGGTATTTATCTATATTTCTCACAGGTACATTGGTGATAATATTATCTACTTCTAGGAAAATAGTGAGGATTGAGTAAGGTAATACATGTAAAGTGCAGTGCCTAACACACAGTAAGTGCTCAGTAAATGTTAGCTATTATTATTCAGCATGTACTACTGAGCATTAGTAAAAATATATATAAATATGTGCAAGTATACATGAGGTATTAAATTTATTATGAAGTAGACATGATGCATACACATAAACACATATAAATAAACTCCTTACTGCCTGCCTTGGAACTCTTCCCTACCCCACTGCTCCCACCCTTCATTTGCTATGGCCAATGCAATCCATTAAGTCTGAACTGACATTTTACTTACTCTGTAACTTAATTCTATAAACCCCCATTATCTAAGTTTTCATAGCAACCTTTATTTCTGCTTTGTAACAGTTATCGTCATTCTAATTCAAGGTTTCTCAGCCATGACACTATTGACAGCTGGGATCAGATAATTCTTAGTCGGCGAAGGAGGAAACTATCTTGTGCATTGGAGGATGTTTTGCAGAATTCAAGGCCTTCGCCCAGTGGATGCAAACAGTACCCCTCCCCCAAAGTTGTGACAGTTCAAAATGTCTAGACATCGCCAAATGTCCCCTCGTGGGAGAGAGAAGCAGAACTGCCCACTGTTGAAAATACTAACCTTATTTTTGTAAATGCTTAATATCCCCCCTCATTCCAAGTCTATCTTTGTCATCACTGAATACTTAATACCTAGAACAGTGCTTGGCACACGGTGAATATTTAATAGCTCTATCTTGAAATAATTTGCATGTATTCAACTATTAGCCCACAAGGGATAGGAAAAATTTTAAATGGCTCAACTATTTCTTATGCCTAGTATAGTATTCTATGCCTAAAAGTAAATGTTTATTGGTGGCAATAAAACTAAATTAAGCTTTAAGAATTTAAATATGATAACTTTTATAGACTATGTGTCAATTATCAAGAAAAAAACTGTTTTGCTCAATGATGATTTGGTAAAACCACACTGTGGTTTACTGTGATTATGTATGCAGGTGTTAACATTGTTATTTGCTCAAGGATAAATAGACTTACTGATATAGGCCGAGTCTGATTCCTGTAGAGGTGAATAAATCAATGCTTCTACTGACCTTCCACAGAAGCCTGGAATTGCCAAAGGAATGATGATCAAATGTTCCAGTGACACCCGGAAATTATGACATCGGAAGATTCTTTCACATAGTTTCCTACCTGCTAAAGAATCAAACATCTCAATGCATAGCTCCAAAAACCAACTGAGGATAACTAAAAATTTTCTCTTAAGAGTTTCATTCTTATTGTTACTGCCTTATTCCTTATTTCCCTACAATTCCTTATTTCCCTATTAGTATTTTCATCCATGAATGAGGGCCTACAGTCTAATCAATCTGTACAAAATCAGAGTTGAGATTCTTCTCATTTTAGATCCTGTTTTCCTCATTCTCTCTCCCCCCTAGACTTTCACTTAATTATGACAATTAAATCCAATCTATCTACATCCTCATCCCACTCCAAAATCATCAAACCCAAACTGTACCTTTACAGATTTCTCTGTAACTCTTATATGGGATTCTTTACACCCTCTCTCTAATGCCTGGAGTAACCTGTTTTGTTTTTTACTGTTTCCTCAAGAGAGCCTTCAAATTCACAAATGGCAGGAATAATTACAATTGTGAAAGGAAGAATACATCTTGTACTGTCCTCATTATTCTGTTCCCTGGGCCCTGGGCTGCTTCTCTGCTCATTCCACCTTTGCATTTCTCTGAACTGCTCTCCCTCTCCCAACTCGTTCTTGGCTTCTATATCAATAGCTTACCTCATGAACATCTGCTCTACTCAGTAATGTTTAGTTTAACCCTTACATCAGAACATTACTCGTCCGCTAAGCAGTTTTTCAATTTTCGTATCTGATGACTAAACTATTAAATGTTAGTGAGCATGTTTTTTTTTTTAAGGCAGAGTCTCACTCTGTCACCCAGGCTTGAGTGCAGTGGTGCGAACTCGGCTCACTGCAACCTCTGCCTCCCAGGTTCAAGTGATTCTCCTGCCTCAGTGCAGCCCGCCTTCCGAGTAAATGGGATCACAGGCACACACCACCACACCCGGCTAGTTTTTGTACTTTTAGTAGAAACGGAGTTTCTCCATGTTGGTCAGGTTGAACTCCTGACCTCAGGCGAACCTCCCACCTCAGCCTCCCGAAATGCTAGGATTACTGGCGTAAACCACTGCACCTGGCCCTAGTGAGCATTTTTTTTAATGACACAAATTCTTTTTTTAATTTATTTTTCATTATTGAACTTAAAGCTTCATGTGCAGAATGTGCAGTTTTGTTACATAGATATACACATTCCATGGTGGTTGGCTGCATCCATCACCCCATCATCTACATTAGGTATTTCTCCTAATGCTATCCCTCCCCTAGCCCCGCACCAAACACTGTTGTGTTTATATGTGTCATATGACTCATGTTATAGAAAACTGGCATTTTACATAAGAATTAACTTGATATTGAATACGATCTTACCTCTACTTTTTCTTACTAGGATATTATCTATGAGTAAGTTGATCACCATTTTAGCTTAGAAAAATAATTTAACTGACAGTGTCACAGTCACACAAACAAATAATTGCTGGCCATTGTTAGCTAATGTATCTTAGGACCTAAACATTTGGTCCTTAGGATGGCCAAAAATTTTGATAGTTCACATGTTTGAGAGGAGGTAGCAGTAGAAAAGTGATGGTAGCATCAGAATTAGATTTAAATTGGTTTTTGTTGTTGTTTTTTTGTTTGTTTGCTTGTTTTTGAGACAGGTTCTTACTCTGTCACCCAGGCAAGTGCAGTGGCATGATCATGGCTCACTGCATGCAGCCACAACCTCCTGGGCTCAAGCAATCCTCCCGCCTCAGCATCTCAAGTAGCTGAGGTGCACACCACCATGCCCAGATGATTCTGTATTTTTTTGTAGAGACAGAATTTTACCATGTTGCCCAGGCTGGTCTCAAATTCCTGGGCTCAAGCAATCCACCCATCTTGCCTTCCCAAAGTGCTGAGGCTACAAGCGTGAGCCACTGTGCTCAGTCAGATTTGAATTTTGACACAATGTTAGTGCTGAGATTTTGAGCAAATCACTAAAAGTTTGTCTGTAAAATGGTATTAATTCCTACCTTACAGAGTTGTTGTGAGGAATACAAAAATATATAACATGTATAAAGCCAATGACTGGGATACCATAATTCAATCAGCACTACTTCCTAAATATTTTTGTGTCATTCTTGAAATCAGAGTGTTGAGACATTGATTTCACTTTTTAGTCACTGATATATATAAAGTAAAATATATGTAAGTGGGATATTCTTAAAATCTTCTAATTTACCATTTTAACTAGTCCATTTGGCATACCATGCTTCCTTAGAATGGGTGATACAATGAAACAAACCAAACAGTAGCCTTAATGATGAAACTTTATGACATTAGAATAATACATCAGAAGACAAAATGAACTTGAGTCTCCAGCAGATTTTCGTAAAGCAATAGATAGACAAGAGCAGTACAAATGGTGAGTTAAAAGACAGTGAAGTCTCCAAACGCTCCCTTAAGTATCATAAGCTCAAGAGCATTAATCTTTCAACTCTCAAGATATTAATTCATGAGATGCAGAAAATGAGTGATACTTGAACTTGCCATAGTCTAAGAAAAAAAGACCCATAGACTCCATTCATTCATTTAACAAATATTTGCTGAGAATCCACATGAGCCAGGCATGTGTTAAGTGTTAAAGATAAAAGATTAAGCAAAAACAAACACAGTTCCTGTTATAGTGGAGTTTATAGGCTAGGATAGGATTTGTTTTAGTATGAAATCTAAATCTAAAAGACAAGTGTGCATTAATTAGGTGGAAATGGGTAGAAGACAAAAACACTGACACAGTTGAGGAGGAGGCAAACAGAGGAAAACAGCATGTTTCTTATTCTTTCTCCATCATACTCCCCTGTTCATTTCATGCCTAGGTACCTAAAGAATTCTCTTTATTCTGAAAAACTGAATGATTTAATGAGGTTTTATGTCTTGGTGTTGATTTTTCTATAGAAATCTCTTTTTCATTCTCAGCATGTAGAATTCTGTCCACTCTATTTGCTCTGTATGTTAGTCAGTTATTGCTCCAATAAAACTGTACCCCAAAACTTCAATGGCTTCAACAACAACAACAAAAAAAGACATTTCTCTTGCTTATAAGATTCTGAATAGCCTGCTGCAGTTCAGATGATCTCAACTTAGCTAATCTGGGTTTGCCTGTATGGAAGTTTTGGAGTGGCTGGTAAGTAAGGCTCTCCCTTGCTTGACTCTTAAGCAGAACTGTCTCAGTCTGATTCTCTACAGACTGAAGTTACTAATGAGATGTGTTAGGACTTTTCTATGTGTGGCTTCTAGAGAACAATGACTGTGACTGCATGAGGGGTAGCATTCTGCAGAGACCAGTATATCATCTGACTGACATGGATAACAGACTGATACAGACCTATTCACATCACTGCCTACAAACTGGACCAAGACTTGCAAATTTTGAAAGCTCCAGACTTTGGGACTTTAGCATCAAGATCCAAAGTGCCCGACTGTACCTCTACCATTGACCCTATGCTAAATAAGCAGTTAAGTCCAGCCTGCAAAAATTTACTGATTAAAAGCTGCCTATTACCAAAAGATATAAAATCCATTGCAACTTTAAACTACCAGCTACCAGAAAAATGTAATAATAATTACTATGTGTCTAATGGGACAATAAAGTGCTCTAATCAATTGAATATTACAGTTCATATTAGCACACATTCATAACACATACCATAAAATTTAACTTTTAACGAAACAAAGAAGACTTCTTACGGTTTCATACTTCTTCAGAATTTTTGTGGAAAATATTACTTTCATTAAAGAAGTACTTGAGTTGTTAATTAAATTCTGGTCTAATTTTTATCAATAAAAGTTTACACATTTTAATGTTTGACAATTTTACGGAGTTGGTAATTGTCATAATGCCTAATTTTTAAATATTCTCCTCCTCGATCCCATCTAAATGCCTAGCATTAATCCCATCTCTTCCATCAGATTTCTGTTTACTCATCTACATCCTCAACCAGAGAATCCTGTTGCACTTATAGTCAATACCATACAATTCTTTGAGTATTTCACGTGTATGTCTTCAATTAGATTGTAAGCTCCTTGGAACTGGATCCATGTCTTAATTTCTTTTGAATCCTCCCAGAGAGCCTACAAGTTAACTTGGTGAGTATAGAGCGTTCAACAAATACTGGTTGGGTCTCTGATCTTAGTTTTGCCATTTTTGTCAAAGTGTATAACCATCTAGCTTCAATTGTGCCCTGACATGTCTGTTTCTCTGGGGTTTCTTTCTGCTCAACGCCATTGTTCATTTTCTATTAGAACAAAGGGCTTGCTGAATAGAGATGCTAAGGCAGCGTCTCGTGGAATGTGAATAAGCGGAACTGATCCACCGCCCAAGGTGTTGACGCTGTGAACAAAAATTAAACCTCTGATAGCCTACGAACAGCTTAAAGACACATATTTTAAAATACCACTCTAAAGCCTAGTTACCCGCCAGTTAGCCCGGCCTCCGGGGCCGTAGTTGCTCAAAGCTGTTGACAAAGCAGCAAGGATCTGCCGACCCGAGGCCCAGTCGCTATGGTAACGGTGAGACGCAAGTGCACTTGCGCGGCCTCCTGACGGAAAACCTTCGTCTGAAACTAGGGACGTGCTTAGCGACAGCAGCGGCTTGCGGTAGCAGCGTGACTTACGGCCGCCCCCTCGGAGAAAGCCGTTGAGGACGGAATGCAGAAGCCGGTACCGGCTCGCAAGCACCGCGAGCTGGCCGCTCTCCAGAATGACCCAGTCAGTGGTCGTACAGGGTGAGTTGCGCGGGACGGGTAGAGAGTCGCCGCGGAATGCCTTGTTTCCTGCCTAATATCCTATTCTCTTTTCTTCCTCTGTGGTCGCAGTCGGCCAGTGCGGAAACCAGATCGGCTGTTGCTTCTGGGACCTGGCGCTAAGGGAGCACGCTGCGGTCAACCAGGTACCCTCCTGCCGCCGCGAGCCCCTCTCTCCTGTCAGCAGGCTCTTCCGGCACCCACTCGACTTGAGCTTTCATCTGACCTATTTAAGTTGCATGGGATATTCTCAGTAAAGAACATACTGGTTTTTAACCATGTTGCTGCCAGACGCACAATAAACTAAAAGAACACCGACCGAAGACCTTAGTCTTAACATTTTTTCGAATTCTCAGGGTCTGCTCTTTATTAGTGTTCGTGGCAGACCAGTGAGATTGTGTATGGGAAAGTACTTTGTAAAACAGATAACACGTTTGATTATTGTATTCCTTAATTTAACCAGTCAGCTTTTAAAAGATCACCAAGAATCCAGAGAACACTCATTTGATGGACCTGTTCTACAGTCCTATAGGAGGAATCCTTTCTTTAGCACCCCCTGCTGAACTTTATCTGTAGACCTCATGGCATTTACTCTTCTAAGGAGATTGGGAAGAGTGAGGCTCAGCATTTTGTGATACTTGCTTTTTCTTATCAGAGCGTCATCCTAGCCCTTATAGTATTATGAGATTATTAAAATGGAAAGAACTGGATTTCGGCAAGAAGCAGAACCTAAATGCTATTAACGTGTGTTTTTCCTTTTAGAAAGGAATTTATGATGAGGCAATAAGCAGCTTCTTTAGAAATGTGGATACCAGGTAAGATGGGATTAAAGTCTGTTGCGGTGTGATACTTTTCGTTTCAGTCACTTGGGAGAGAATTCTTCAAAGGACAATAAAAATAGCCAGTTGCTGCGAAGTTGTCTTTTTTTGTTTCATTATTGAAAGCATATTTATTCTATTAGATTATTAATATTCTCCTATTATTGTGCAGAACCAGACAACAGATTTACCTTTAGAGTGGCTTCTTTTAACTTAACCTTGAAATAAGTTTCATTAAAGGAAAGCTGTAATTTTCCCAGAGGGCATCTTGTTAATGCATCCAGTAAAAACTAACTTTTAAAAGAAAAATGTAATTGTTTACATATATAAGTATAAAAATGTACTTAAAAAGGAGACAAGCAGTTGTTGGATTGTTTTGTTTATTTAATAAAGGGTATATGTAAGTACCATATATCTTTTATCTGGAAGAGTAATTTAAGTTGCCATTCAGGATATGTCCATAAGCTTTTAATATCAGTCAAATCATTAAGTTCATGCATTTTCAAAATACTTCATAAAGCAGACTTAAACTGAAAAATATATACTTAATATCAGGCATTAATTCAATGGGAATATCAGTTCTAGTTTAAAATAATTGGCTGGGTGTGTGAGCAGTTATCTTCTAGAGAAAGCAAATTAGTCCCTGCTTCCTGGGTGAATTCCACAGTCTATCTAGGGCTCTGGCTTGCAAACTCAGAAGTGTCATTGGCATCTTGAGGTGGGTTCATTGCTCTCCAGTAGAGCCAGGTTAACCAAAAACCAAATTCTCATTTTTTCTTCATAGCCACATTACATTATCTCTTGTAGGAAATCTACCTGAAAAGCTATGTAATAATCAGAAGGTTGCTTGGTGACCATGGAATCAGAGCACAGGAAGTTAATGGCTTGAATCATTTATCTTTATTTTATGGAGATATCTGTCATGTAGACTGTAAATTCCCTGTTACTTGTAGCCCAGAATATCCTCACCTCTAAATTCTCTTAGGAGACTCAAATTTGCCTCTGTAATACTTCCTTTCAGGCAATTCTCTTGCGAAGTTCCTACACCCACCTCTTTACTTCTTGTTGCTTACATTGAGTATTACATGATTGAGACTCAGCCTAGGAGCTTTACTTTCTTCATAAGGTGATTCTTCATAACTACACCCTTATCTACTCTGTGTGTTTTATACTTTAACCTGAGAGCAATATTATTTTCCTGGTAATTTTGGCAAGAAGGGTTGTAGCATCTTGTACTTCTTTCTGTGTACTATCAACACATTCAGCATCTGTTCCACAGTTCAGTACAAAAAATCTTTTTCAAAAGTAAGACCACATCTTTGTGTACTCTTCTTATCAAATGTTTATACCTTTTTAATAGCATGATAGGAATTTACCTACAGCATGGGTTGGCGTACGTTTTCTGTAAAGGACCAGGCAGTACATAAATATTTTAGGTTTTGTGAACCATAAAGTCTTTTACACCACTTCTTGATCTGTAGCATGACTGTGGGCATAGGTAATACATAAGGGAATGGGTGTGTTCATGTTTGAATAAAACTTTATTTAGGAAAACAGGCAGCTAGTTGGATTTGGCCTGGCAATTGGCTACCCTTCATATAGTCTGTCTTGTGAACTGTCTTTATTGACCCATACACTGTGTTAGATTTCAGCACTTTGGCAACTTATTTCCAACATGAAATTCTGAAAACAGCCTTAGATACTCGATGGCAAATAGTATATCATTGTTGGGTGTTTTGCTGCAATAGGAAACCACATTAATGGTGACTTAAGCAGTAAAGGTATCGATTTATCTCACGGACAAATCTGGATCGATTTATCTCACAGACAAATCTGGAAATCATGTTCTAGTTTAAAAGAAATGCCTCAAAGACCTAATACTATCTACTGTTCTGCTGTCCATAAGTGTGTTGGCTTTTTGTCCTTGTATTTATTACTTCATGACTGTAAAATGTCAGCCTCTGCTCCAGGAATCACATTCATATTTATGTTTGAAGGAGGAAAAAGGCAGAAGATAGACGGAAACTGCATCTGGTCCTTCTTTAAAAGCTTCCCTGAATACTTCCCCTTTATCTCATTGGCTAGAACTGAATTACATTGCCAGCCCTAACTACAAAGAAAGGCAGGAAAATAAGTATTTCACTTTTTCAGCCTAATGGGAGGTAAGCAAGGAAGAAAGAGATAGGAATAGGTGTTGTGTCTGCCTCACCTGGCCTATAAACAGTCTTATTATATAAATGGAAGTTAACTTTATTACCTGATAGCACCATTAGCCATGGAAGATCTTATGACCTTTTCTCATTTTTTTATCTTTCAGAGTGGTTGGTGATGGTGGAAGTATTTCCAAGGGAAAAATACGTTCTTTAAAAGCACGAGTAAGATACATATATGCTTGGATTCTTACATTGCATGTATTTTTTAAATAACTGTTCTCAGTAACTATCATGAGAATGAAACTTTAAACTTTTCAAAGTAGAAAAAAGTTACTAAGCCATGTTTAATATAAATATAACTAAGCAGACATTTGTGTCTGCTTAACACATTAGGGAGAAAAGTCCATACTTAAAAATACTGTAGGCTTTTTTCAAAAGAAATAGTGTCTAGATAAATGATAACAAAAGGAGCAGTTTAATGTTTTATTCGACTATATTGGAAGATTTATTTGCATCAAGGTTACTACCAATACAAAACATAGAATCAGCCACATGGTAGACAATAAAAACCATTAACCATGTAAGTGCTCCTGAACCAACTACTTCCAGTTCATAGCCCATATTTACAGTCTTATTTACAGTCTTAATCATTCCAACAATATTTCTGTGATTGTTTCTTTGAAACTACATTTTCTGATTTTTGATCAGTGATCTTTGACTATAACACAAAAGGAAGTTTAGTCCGGGCGTGGTGGCTCAAGCCTGTAATCCCAGCACTTTGGGAGGCCGAGGCGGGTGGATCACGAGGTCAACAGATCGAGACCATCCTGGTCAACATGGTGAAACCCTGTCTCTACTAAAAATACAAAAAATAAGCTGGGCATGGTGGCGTGTGCCTGTAATCCCAGCTACTCAGGAGGTTGAGGCAGGAGAATTGCCTGAACCCGGGAGGCTTGCCTGAACCCAGGAGGCAGAGGTTGTGGTGAGTTGAGATCGCGCCATTGCACTCCAGCCTGGGTAACATGAGTGAAACTCCGTCTCAAAAAAAAAAAAAAAAAAAAAAAAAAGGAAGTTTAAATGTTATGGAAGGAATTGCAGTGCTAAAGATCAGACCTGGTGTAGTAGCTAAAAGACTAGTGTGCAGTAGTTTTGTGACATCTGGGAATCATCTCCTTGTATCTGCGATCTCTGATATCCTTGGAAAACAAACCTTAGGGCAAAAATTATGTGCTTGCAGGCTGTTATGTTAATTGATTAACACAGTATACTTCATGATATAGAGCGAACTGATATCCCAATATAAATCTTAGAGAAAAAGAGACTGACATTTCCTAGACTACTCCCAATTGAATCTTTTCAGTGAGCAGATTGAGAGGTGGAGGAAACACTATTAGGAAAAAGTAAATCGGTGTGGTTTTGTAGCCTTTGACTTTTTTTCAGAGAAGGTACTCTTCCATTTTCTCCTTAGGAGCCCTTGGTATTATGTGATTGTGGTCACTGAAGAGTCCAGGCTTCACAAAATAACTTGGTGCTTGGGTTCTTCCACTGTGTTCAGCTTCTTAGGTTAATAAATACTCAGAATTGTGTAAATCCTATGTTATACTCGGGGGAAAGCCAGGTGGCTCTGAAGGGAAGTACAAACATCAAATCCTGGAACAGTTGTGTCTCCAGACCTTGGATACCTAAGTGAAGAACCCAAAATACTCTCCCAAAGTTTAGTTTAATTTCCAAAGGAAAATCAAGGGCCTGATATAACTAAGGAAGGTCTGGAAGAGTTATGTCAGGATTTTAATGTTAAGTGACTAGGACAGTGTTGATTGTATCAAAACTCATTTCAGGAGGTACCTGAATATCAGTTTGTATTTTCATATTGCTTCGCTTGCCAGATAGTAGAGTAATTGAGAGTGTGATTTATGTACATTTAATCTTCCACATACCTCAATAAATCTATCTTGGAATGAGACCAGTATAATCTAATTTATTTTTCTTTTTTAATCTTACAACTTGTAGTACTACAATTTACCCATACAGTAAAGTCTCTCTTTGGTTGGTTTAGGTATTAAAGTCAGCATTTGAGGTCAAAATTGCATATTGTCAGAAATATCCTTGAAAATACCTAACATTGCCAAACATAATCCTATATAGTCCTGTGTATGAAAAGGACACAGTCCTGTGGATGAATATGATCGCTCTATATAAAGGAGCACATTTATAAGACAGTTTTATAGTCTTTATGATATAATGCTGTATTATTTTATTTGTATATCTTAAAGTAACATGGTTAACACAAATGATTAAATTCACTGCTTAATGTTATATGGTCACAGAACTAAAAGCTATGAACTAAGCATTTCCTCTGTGACATTGAAACAAAGAGTTAACAAATCATTTTTTAGTGTACCCTAAAATTTGTTCAGTTTTGCTTTTTTATTTAACTCTATTTAGTTTACTTTTTCACTCTTCTTCCTCACTGTAGAATATATGGAAACTATAGGGAAGTAGGAGGACGGGACATATAATCCTACTGCCAAGCTATCCCTGCTTTACATTTTACAGTATTTCCTTCATCTTTTTTTCTTTCTATAATTAATTTTGTGTTTTGTATTCTCATTTCTTCTTAGGAGTATGCGTTTTTTGGTCGTGTCAGCTAAGAATTAGATTGTGAATTATTTGGGGGAAGGGACCATGTTGTCATTTTTGACATCTATCCAGTGTCTTTGCTTTGCACATAAGGGTAAATTTACTCATTCGAATTGAACAGTTTTGGGCTGTGGTTCATAAAGAACAGCATGATTGTTCCCAGTATGCAAATACATTAATGCATCCTATATTTTTTAAGAACTTGTTCTGGTTAAGGTTGCCTTCTAAATTTCTGAGACCTTGTTAAAAATTCATTGAGGGGATTATTCTTGGGTCTTTTTCCCCCCACTAGGCATTTTGGAGTAGAATAAAAGAATTTAGAATTCATTTTTTAATTGGATTCCACCTTTCAAACAGAGTGAAATTCTTTTTTAATTTTTACAACGGATTCTACATAAAGTTTTTAATTAAGCTTAAACTATAAAGAGAGCAGTGCAATATTCAGTGCATAAATTCTTTTCATTTACAGAGTGAATAACTCTAAAAGGAAAATACACTAAGTAGATTTTATTTTTCTTTCTCAGGCCATCTTGATTGATATGGAGGAAGGGGTAGTGAATGAAATTCTGCAGGGACCACTGAGAGATGTATTTGATACGAATCAGCTCATCACTGATATTTCTGGCTCAGGAAATAATTGGTGAGAATACACAGTGTAAAAATTAAATGTCTTCTGAAAAAAAAAAAAGAGCAACCTTTCCTTCATTCTGAGATTCTGCTGATATGAAATAAGATGCGATTTGCCGCAGGCCTTTAAGCCCACAACCTTAAGAAATGGTGGTGTTTTAATGCTTGGAAGCCACCTGTATTTATTCCTAGTTTCTTCTAACTTTTTAAAAGAAAAATTATGAAAAATTAATTTGCTGAATTTCTTTTTATAAATTGATTCTTGAAGAACACTTAATAGTGACAAATGTTTTAAGTACTTTCATAAACTCTTATCTATATTATTTGACTGGCTCTCAAGTTGTCCAATTGGTCAGCTGTAACAGAATTGATACAGATGCAAGCCAGACCAGTATCCTAGCATTCAAGCTGAGCCTGAGGCTGTTTTGACCCTTGAGTATATAATGGTCTCCATACTTCGAAAAAAGCTTCAACAGTGATCACTTGGGAATTCACACTGAGACTGTTTTGCTGTTTTTTAGAAATTAAGTAGCTCCCTGTTATTTGCAAATCTCTCATACTCATTATTTTCACTGTTTGCAGCCAATTCCCCAGGTACATAATGTGGAATGATGTATAATTTTACTAAAGCATAAATTTGAAACTTGTGTTCCCAGAGACTTATCTGGGGAGAACCAGTCACTTAGTAAGTGAGCCCACCTGACCCCCTAACTGCATTTTCCCTAATTGTTGTGTAACTTATATGTAGCTTTTGAGTTATACCTGACTGCATGTTATGGGAAAACACTTTGTTTTAATTCATAATCGTGATATTTGCAAATTTGGACAACTGAAAATACTTGCAAAGCCGCATGAATATCAATTTCTACTATATGCCGTTTTATCTAATAACATGATATGACCATTTTTTTCTCGTGTATAAAACCAGAATAGGTTTGTTGAAAATTTTTTATTTTCAGTGTCTGTAGTTTGCCACATTTTGCTTTTTAATATGTAAAATCCACTACAATTCAGAAATTACCTTAAATGGAGAGAAGAAAAATTATGTAAGTGAAATCTTGTTTTGTTGGAATTGTACCTTAAGAGAAAGGTTGAGAAGGTAAATTTAGAAAATCATAGTTAAATATTCATTACTAATGAGCTTACTTATCCATATATTTGAGGATTAGAGATATTGAATATTTGTTAAGTTTTCCATCTAGTATCTTCAGGATATTGTATGATTTATTTACAGGAAACAAGAATAGATTTTTACTTAGTTCAATAAAAATACTTTTCAAATTTGTTTAAAATCCTTTCATTTAGATTAGAACTAATAAAATCGAAAAACAATACATGCAAGATTTTTTTTTTAATCTATATTTTTATTTTCAGGGCTGTGGGTCACAAAGTTTTCGGCAGTCTTTACCAAGACCAGATTTTAGAGAAACTCAGAAAGTCGGCAGAGCAGTGTGATTGCTTGCAGTGTTTCTTTATAATACATTCCATGGGAGGAGGTATAATTTTTCATTCATTTGCCTGTAACTGTTAAAGTGGAAATTCATTTTGCAAACACAAGTCTTGTTTTTAGACCTGTTCTTGCTAAAGATGGAACTATTCAGTGTGTGTATGGTTTAAGCATATAAACATACACCTTTTTATCTTAAAATTTTGTGGAATTATGTCACTATTTTCTTTTTGTTTGTTTGTTTTTGTTAATGTAAGGCCTCTTAAGAGTCAACAGAACTATGTTGGAAAGTTTTTTTTTTTATCTTTAGTTTCTTTTACAGAACATTCAGCTACTTTTCAGGATGTATGCGCTTTTGAGGAACGCTGACTTTCTCCTCAGAATTTGCTTGTACAGTCCTGTTTCCTAGAGTGAAGCATTTCTGACATGTTCATAATGTGTGCTTGCCAAAGGATATCAATCCCCTTTAACTACCTTCAAACCTTTCTTGTCTCAATGGTATTAATCTATTTATTAGTTTCATAGCCCCCTAATAGTTCACAACTCAGTTTGAAAAACAACCAGATTAGAGGATTCCAGTTTTAAGTTCTGAAAATTTTCTGAATTTATGTAAATATAACTTTATGTGTTAGAAAATTGATGAGATTCCTAGAGTTTCTGCTTTTAAATAAGTAGTGTTTCATATTTGAAAATTTTTGAAATTTGAGGTCAATGTGCTTAATTGTAAACAATTTTAACTCAGTATTTAAGTTGCTTCATGACATGATAGTTTTCCTTGTTAAGATTATGTAGATACTACAATAAAGCTGTCCAGTTAGTTTTCTTAAATTGCTTAATATCAAGTGTAGACTGAATACTGTCATAGTTGAATTTTTTACTTGTGCATGTGCATTTGGTTCTTGTGGCATTATATAGCTATAACTTAAATATGAAAAGGAGTAAAATATAGACGGCCCTCCCAAACTCACCGTCAGAGCCAGTGGTGGCATTCAGGACTTCATTTCCTGAATGTTGCCTTCATTTCCTTATCCAAAATTAGTTCGTTACTATATAATAACAGAAATAAGTTGAAAATTATTTACAAATACAAAATTCTGGCAAGGTGTGGTGGCTCATGCCTGTAATTCCAGAACTTTGGGAGGCAAAGGCAGAAGATTACTTGAACCTAGGAGTTCAAGACCAGCCTGGGCGACATAGGGAGACCCTGCCTTTACACAAATTAAAAAGTTAGCCAGGCATGGTGGCACATCCCTGCGGTCCCAGATACTTGGGAGGCTGAAAGCGGGAGGATCATTTGAGCCCAGGAGGCCAAGGCTGCACTGAACTGTGATTATGCTGCTGTACTCCAGCCTGGGTGACAGAGCAAGACCCTGTCTCAAAAAAAAATAAAGTTTCAAATTTCTCACAGTTATATTCTGAATCATTTATGCTAATTTTAAAAAATATTTTAATCCTCAGGAACAGGATCTGGACTTGGCACCTTTCTTTTAAAGATGCTTGAAGATGAATTCCCAGAAGTATACAGATTTGTAACTTCCATTTATCCTTCTGATGAGGATGATGTCATAACCTCACCTTATAATAGCATCTTGGCAATGAAGGAACTTAATGAACATGCAGACTGTGTGTTGCCCATTGACAATCAAGTAAGAAATTACATTGGAACTTTGGATAAATTTTATATATATTAGTCCTGTATTATGTATATGTGTTTATATGAAACATTCTCTTCACTTTTCAACCTTCATATCTCAGAGAAAACATCAGTTTAAATTGCTTTTCTTTCTTTTTCCTAGTGGACTGTCATCTACATCCCCTCTTCTTAATAGCTTCTCTCCCAATGTTTTTCCCTCAAAAGTCTTTATTTGACATCATTAGCAAAATTGACCTCATGGTGAATTCTGGAAAGTTGGGTACAACTGTGAAGCCAAAGAGTCTGGTTACTTCAAGTTCTGGGGCTTTAAAAAAGTGTCATAAGAAGCCCTTTGATGCAATGAACAACATTGTGGCAAATCTGCTGCTCAACCTAACAAGGTAATTCTATCCAGGGATAGTCAAAAACATTTATTGTGCTTTGGGTGATATTTTGAATTTTTGTAGTAGCATTTTTTAGTTATTCTAAACTATAGGAGCTGCTTCTGTTTTTATTTTGTCTTGTATTTTCTCTTCTTGGAGTGATCAAGCAGAATTTTAATTATATAACTCCAAAGCAGCATTTCACCAAGTATGTTCCATGCAATATTAATAGGTATCATATAAAAGATTTTGTGGTCGACACACTTGTGAAACGCTTGGAAAAAATTAAACATTTTGTAGCTGTAGAATGTCCTAATCATTTAAACCCACTAATTTTACCTCCTCATTAACAGGTCCAAAAGATTTTTGTGGCTTTTGGTATTAGAGATTGCTTTGACATTATTACATTCTAGATTATAGACCATGGAGGTTTTTAATTGTTTCTATAATAATTATTTACCTATATGTGTTTAACTCAAATATAAAATTTGTTTTAAATAGAACATTTTTATATGTGTAATGAGCAACTATAATATTATATTGGTTACACTTTAGGTAATCCAGAAACAAGAATTAGTTTAGGGCCAGGCATGGTGCCTCCTGCCTGTAATCTCAGCACATTGGGAGGCCAAGGCTCAAGTATATAAAATACTGGTCCTGAGCCCAGGAGCTCAAGACCAGCCTGGAGCACATGGTGAAACCCCATCTCTATAGAAAATACAAAAGTTAGCCAAGCATGGTGGTATACACCTCCTGTAGTCTCAGCTGCTCGGGTGGCTGAGCTGGGAGGTGGCAGTTACAGGCAGCCAAGATCACACCACTGCACTCCAGCCTAGGCAACCAGAGCGAGACCCTGTCTCCAAAAAAAAAAAAAAAAAAATTACTATAGATGTGTTGTGTGTTATATTTTACTTCATACATGATTGTTCATGATACTGAATTTCACTGTATGGAAGAAAAACACGTTTGCACCGAAGAACAGTGTACAAAAGAATTTGAGAAACTACTTGCTGAATAAATCGAGCTACATTTGAAGTGTATAATTTTAAAATTAAAAATTTTCTCATTATTTTAATGTTAACTTTTTAGCTCTGCAAGATTTGAAGGGTCCCTTAATATGGACCTTAGTGAAATCAGCATGAATTTAGTTCCTTTTCCCCAGCTTCATTATCTCGTGGCAAGCCTAACACCTCTATATACACTGGCAGATGTTAGCATTCCTCCTAGAAGGTAAGGTATAACTTTGTTTCCGTTTTTTGAGACCTCAAATTACTTTAAAAAAACATTTTTAAGAGAAAAAGTTTGCAATAACTATAGTTATTTCATTGTATCATCTTATCTGTAAGAAGTATATAAAATGCAGTTAATGACAGCCGTTTTTCCATTAGATGAATGTATCTTTATTTAGAAGTAATTGTTGAAAAATACCAGTATTAAACTATTTGAACTTAAATCTAATGATTAAATTTGTAGGCTTATGAAAAGTGCTTTGAAGTCTGACAAGCAATGTTTGAATCCTAATTGTCACTTACTTGCTACAGGACCTTGGGCAAGTGACTTAAACTTTCTTAGTTTTTCACATCTGTAAAACTGAAATAGTACTTACCTCATATACTTATTGGTTAGATTAAATGAGAGTTTGTTTTAAAGCCACTATCACAGCCCAGCACCATAGAAGGATTTCAGATGTAACTCTGTGTGTTTTCCACAACACCTTGCTTTATAACTGTGTGTCATTGTTAAGCATAAAGATTTCATCAGTATATTTAACAAAAAAATGTAGTTTTGAAAGATACTCTTAGCATATACATTGATGATGAGATTGAAAAATTCACAGTGACATTCACAGTTGAGTGAGGGAAAAGGTCTTGCCAAGCTCTGTAAGGGGACAGTATGTAAATAAGAAAGTGAAAACTAAATTGCTGAGTGCAGTGGCTCACACCTGTAATCCCAGCACTTTGAAAGGACAAGATGGGAAGATCACTTGAGCCCAGGAGTTCAAGACCAGCTCAGGCAACATACTGAGACCCCATCTCTACAAAAAGAAAAATTTTTGAACTAGCCAGACATGGTGGTGTGCACCTGTACAGAGGAGCCTGAGGTGGGAGGATCACTTGAACCCAGGAGTTTGAGGCTGCAGCGAGCTATGGTTGTGACACTGCTCTCTAGCCTGGGTAACAAAGCAAGACCCTCTCTAAAACAGATTAAAAATAATTTTTAGAAAAATTTTAAGCAAACTAAATGAAAGATTCTTTTTTATAATTAAAGTTTTAACAAGATAATTCTGTACTTCGGGAATGTCACAAGTGATACTGGTTAAGTTTTTATTTAAGCCAACAGCAAATGACCAATTGCCAACTAATAGCATGGGATGCTGATGACCTTAACAAGTTAAGCATCATACACAGTGTATGCAACATGGTGATCATTAAATGTCCATTGCCATCAGGCTAGCATAGGAGTCTGTGTATTGTTAGATATAAACTTTGTCAGTCACCTTTATTTTCTTTTGTTTTTTAGCCTTCAGTTAAAAGACGTAGGTTAAAAGTCTCTGCTTTTAGGAGCACTACTATGGAGTTTCATCTTTTATAGGAGAGCTTCACATTGTCCTTTGAGAATTTCCTCCTGTTAACTAATTTATGATATAATATACTTTACAAGGTAATAGTCTTAATGTTATAGGCTTTTAATTACTTTTAATAATTTGGATACTGTGAAATAAATAAGGTATACTGAACTAAGTAATAATGATACCAGTTTCAAAAATCAGTACTACATAGAGTTCAGTAATGCTACAATCAACATTTTTTAGCTACCTGAGATCACCAATATACTGCAGAAGCTTTTCTCCCCCAGAAAAAAGAAAATATATTTTTTCCCTTCTCATATTTATCATCAAGATTGCTTCAAGAAAGTTATAGTTATTTAATATTTTTAGAATATATATAATCTAATATTTTGTTAATATAATACCTAGTGTGATTTATTTACTTATAGAGGACTGTCTTCATTTTATAGTTACACCATAGAAGAAAGAAGTAATATTTTATATAGACAATGACTCTTTCATTGTTGCAGATTGGATCAGATGTTTTCAGATGCCTTTAGTAAAGATCACCAGCTGCTTCGGGCAGACCCCAAACACAGTCTTTACCTTGCTTGTGCGCTCATGGTGAGAGGAAATGTACAAATTTCAGATCTTCGCAGAAATATTGAAAGGTGTGCTTTATATTTTTAAAGATAATTTGTGTGTGCTGCTTGGGACAGTGTGGCATAGTAGTTAACAGCTACTCTTCAAATTCTAGCAATGCCACTCACTAAAGTGTGACCTTGAACAAACTACTTAGTCTCTTTGTGCCTTGTTTTTTTCAAGTATAAAATAAGGATAATAATAGTACATAGTTTTTATTTAGGAGTATTAAATGATGTATGAGATGTTTTATTTTATGTAAGTGTTCAGAAAATTGTAGCCGATAATTATTTTTATTACTGCTGCCACCGGCACTACTGCTACTACTGCTGCTTCTGATTTTTGTTTTACTATTTAATTCTATGTATAAGAAAACTACTCTGTTGAATTATAAAGTAAGGAAGATAATACCTGCTTTTCTTTGTATCCCTAAATTCTAATCTTAAGGATTGAGTTTCTAGCTTCTTGAATCACCATCACAGTCAATTTAATGTTCCCCTATTAAATGTCTCTTAATCAGACTATACCGTGTTACTCCCAATGGTAAAAAAATAGCTTGTAAACTAAGAAATTAGAATGATACCATCCATAATGTTCTAGTTTAACTAATACAAGCTGCAATAATAAGGCAGACATTTTTAGTGCCTTAGTTCTTAACCTTTGAGCTGTGTGTGTTGTTTGTTTGTTTGTTTTAATCTCAGATTAAAACCATCTCTACAATTTGTCTCCTGGAATCAAGAAGGCTGGAAGACCAGCCTGTGTTCCATACCTCCTGTGGGCCATTCTCATTCATTGTTAGCTTTAGCAAATAACACTTGTGTGAAGCCCACCTTCATGGAACTGAAGGAGAGATACATGAGGCTCTACAAGAAAAAGGTAATTATCATACCCCTTTGTAACTGTATGTGTTAATTTGGGCTATTTAAGGTATTTTCTTAAGAATTACGCTATTACAAATCAGGGTGATCATTTCTATTATGTTCGTTGTACTGATTATAAATGAAGAGGAGAGGCTTACTTGTACTATTTTTACCCTAAATGAGAAATTTCATGAGTTTATAGGATTTATTCAATTTGACACAAGTTCTCTTTGAAATGTAGAGCTGAATGAACTCTAATTTTAATAAGGAATAGTTACTTTATAGGATAGTTGTAGGTATTAAAGTTCCTGAAATGGTAAATGTTACCAAATTTTTTAATTTATAGGCTCACCTTCATCACTATCTACAAGTTGAAGGGATGGAAGAAAGCTGTTTCACAGAAGCTGTGTCATCTTTGTCAGCACTCATACAGGAATATAACCAACTGGATGCCACAAAAAACATGCCTGTGCAAGATTTACCCAGACTAAGCATAGCTGTGTAAATAAGAAAACCCCAAAAATACTTTCTTAATCTCACATTGTTTTTTCTGACCTGTTTCAGCATTTTTGTGATTCGGAAAGTCCAGGTTTTTTGTTGTTGTTTTTTTTTTTTTTTTTTTTTCATATTTTCAGGAGATATTTTTGTCTAAAAGAGTGAGTTCTGTTTAATCACAGTTTGTTGGTAATACCAATATGTGCAATTAGTGAAATCCTAGTACATTAACTTCAAACATTTCTCTTCAGCAAAGTCCCTTTTTCTAAAATTGAAAGAACAGAGTTCTTGAATATTTTGCTATATTTATAGCCTCATATTTAGGCATTTATGCACTGATAATTATGTCTTCAATAAAAGTCTTATACAGATATATTTTTTGTAAGTATTTATGATTTATATCTTAATATTCTATTTAAGTTCTCCTGATTCCATATAAGTAGTTACTGGGAGTAGAAGAATACAATATAAATATTTCCGTGTAATATCCACTAACTTTTCAGGCATAGGTTTTATTACAACTGTTAAGGAGGTTTTGTTTCTTCTTTAGATAACAACTGGTTTGCTCAAAAGGATCCTAATTTGTACACTTAAAATTTATTTGCATTAAACTTTTTTTTTTTTTTTTTTTTTTGAGACGGAGTCTCACTTTGTCGCCCAGGCTGGAGTTCAGTAGTCCAATCTCGGCTCACTGCAACTTCCACCTCCTGGGTTTAAGTGATTCTCCTGCCTCTGCCTCCTGAGTAGCTGAGACTACGGGCATGCCCCACAATGCCCAGCTAATTTTTGTATTTTTTTTTTTTTTTAAGTAGAAATGGTTTTAGCACATTGGTCAGGTTCATCTTGAACTCCTGACCCCATGATCTGCTCACCTTGGCCTCCTAAAGTGCCGGGATTACAGGTGTGAGCCACCGCAACTGTCCTAAACTTTTAAAATAATTGCTTTCTTATCAAACCATTTATTTTATAATAAATGTTCATATTTTTAAACAGTGCTACTTGTTATTGTTTCGCATGTCATTTATATAAATGAACAGAACATTACTAAGCTTGATAACTTCTTCCAAAGTTTGCAATAAATGGCTTTAATTGTTCCAGTTACTGTAATCTTCAGTTCTAGCCTTATCATTAATATATTTTTAATAACCGTTTATACTTGAGATCCACAGGCTAATTTTAAGTTTTATTCTTTATGTTTCTTTTCTTTGCAAAGTAATGATACTGTTCTTGGTCTTTGTCTTGGATATTTAATTTTTGCAATATTTGATATAAAAAAATTTAGTTTGCAGTTGTTAACAATGGCCGGAAAAGTTGCATTTTCTCCTTTCCAAAAGAAACTGATACTCAACATCAGGCAATGAAAAGTATAAATATATTTATAGCTTAATCTTATTTCTGTTCAGGAATTAATCTAGAATCTTATGTGCCTCTATAATGATTTATCAACTAATGGACACCTAGGCTACATTGTCAAATATAGATTAAATTTTTTAAATTGAGTATGCTTGTTTATTTTTCCCCCAAAGGAGTCTCACTCTGCCATGCCAGTGCAGTGGTGTGATCTCAGCTCACTGCAACCTCCACTGCCTGGGTTCAAGTGATTCTTCTGCCTCAGCCTCCCAGGTAGCTGGGATTACAGGCATGCACCACCACACCAGCTAATTTTTGTACTTTTTTAAATTAGAGACAGGGCTTCACCATGTTAGCCAGGCTGGTTTCAAACTCCTGACCTCAAATGATCTGCCTGCCTCAGCCTACCGAAGTGCTAGGATTACAGGCATGAGCCACTACACCCAGCCTAAAATTTAGTATGCTTTTTTACACATCTTCAGCAAGTATTCCAGATTATTTTTTTTTTAATATTTTCTTGTAAATTGCATAATTTTTTCATATACAAAATGCTTAGATGGTACCAAATGTCTGTGTATTATGTAATTATAGGATATATTTTAGAAATGAGTTCAATTTTTAAGTTTTTCAAATTTTGCATATATTTTTAGGAGAACTTTTTTAAAAAACTTCTAATGCCTTAAATATAGTGATCTGAGGATAGCTAGGCATTCTTACTGTTTTAAACAAAAAGATTTGCCAACATTTTATACTCTAATTTTTTTATTATATGACAGGATTGACTACTTTTCATCCATTTGCTTGGATGAATCTTGAGCTTGGATGAATCTTTTACAGAATCTCGAGCTCAGAAAATATATCTCCAGGTTCTCTGCAGTTTCTCTGACATACACAAGATGTAATCCACAGCATCTTCCATTTAAATGACCCCTCATTTGGGCAATCAAATTGAATAGTAATCATTTTAGACTTATTAGGGATACAGCATCTCTTATCCAAGCATATTCCACAAAAAGTGGGTTTGTAACTCTGAGCACTTGAGCATCCAGAAAAGACAAATTTTTCAGCTTTAGAGAGTTGGAAAGTAGGTTGGCATGTTTTTCCTTTGGGGATCTGAAAAGATACATAAAATTAAGAAGTCATTCTTTAAATTTTATTACAATAGTTTAGAAAAATACGTAGAATATTTTATAGCACAAATAAAATTATTTGGAGGCATTAATAAAAGTTGTTCTGTAGTGATTTCCAGCACTCTCTTTTCTCTGCCCTTAAGATCCCCTTCTCACCAGACATCTGTCCCCTCTATTCTTACTCCATCATATTTATAACACCCACACCTCAATGTTTTTTTGCCCTCTATTCTTTACTCAGTTTCACAATAGACATTTCTGTTTTGTTTAATATCAAGGGCCATGTCTTATTAAATACCTACCTAAGACTTAGCAACTTTCATAACATAGCCCAGTTTTGGGTGGATGGATAGATGAGTAATTTAATCCTAATCTCTTTAAAACTGAGGCATCAACTTGCTTATGTGATAGAGAATAACTTGAGGGTAGGAAGGATTTTGTAGCATTTCTAAAAATTACTCTTTTTGAGACAGACATCCTGCCTAGTTCAAGAAGTATTTACCAGACAATCTTAGGGTAAATATTTTCTCATAATGCTTTAGCAAGTTTGCTATGTAAACATAGAGCATTTTGGAAACACTGTGGTCTCCTTCCAAGTTAGTAATATATAACTAAGATGAGAACTTCTCTACTCCAATGTTCATAATCTCTGTTTTCATAATTATAGGGTAGCAACCAAAGTCTTTTATTCATAATAGAGAGAAAAGTTAGAATCTGCTATATTTAGTAATATTTTCCCCACAAGTTGCAGTTAGATTAATATCTTTTCCTCTGAAATAGTTTGACTTCAAGCATTATAATGAGATTATTTTATTTTTGTAAGAACTAAACACCATCCCTCCCTCTAAAACCCACACATACTTGCTTTTCAGGAATCTCTTTATATTGAATTATAATTAAGTTAAATCATTTAAACTTGGCCAGGCATGGTGGCTCTCAGCTGTAATTCCAGCACTTTGGGAGGCCAAAGCAGGTGGATTACCTGAGGGCAGGAGTTCGAGACTAGCCTGGCCAACATGGTGAAACCACATCTCTACTAAAAATATAAAAATTAGCCAGGTGTGATGGCAGGTGCCTAGCAGTAATCCCAGCTACTCGGTGGCTGAGGCAGGATAATCACTTGAACCCGGAGGTGAAGGTTGCAGTGAGCTGAGATTGCACCACTGCACTCTAGCCTGGGTGACAGAGCCAGACTCTGTCTCAAAAAAAAAAAAAAAAAAAAAAAAAATCTATTTAAACTTTACCTTTATTGTCTTTAATATATTGCTGTCACAAGGCTGAATGTAACACAATCTTTTCTCTTTTCTCATTTCACAGTTGGTGTTTTCATTGGTTACCCTATTAGATATTCCCATCCCACATGTTCTGGAGCAGGCAGTCCACTTTGTTGCTTGCACAAGACATTTTTTTTTCCAAATAAGTGGGAGATTTCTATAATCTAAAACAAAGGGAGAAAAGTATGTATGTATACATATAAATGTATAGATAGATAATTTTTAATCATGTTTAACCTAATATTTAAGAAATCTGAATTTTTTTATATAATGTAATTCAGAATAAAGAAACTGATGGTCTAATTTATCATTCTATCTCCCTCTTTCCCAATCCCAAAATTACCTTTCAATCAAGTATTACAGTCTAATCTCTAAGAAGGAATAAAAATACTTTATCTTAGAAAAAGTGAGATTTACTCATTTGCATCTTTCTGCTTAGCCTGTCTTCTGAATACTAAATGTAAGCTTATGTTCTTGTTGATAAGTTGTCTTTTCCCTGGTTCTTGCCTCATTATTTAACAGACATTGAAATGAAAATTAAGGAATTTGAGATATTGATGAGAACAGTGTGATCTTAATGTTAACTTTCATGATATGTTAAAATCTAAAATACAAAAAGTATGTTTGAGAATTAGACTATCAATGAAAGGATTTCTTCCATTTGTTTTAATCTAGTCTTTTAGAAAACTAAGTAATATTACACTGAACTAAACTATCTAATCATTTATATACAAAGTCATTGCAAATGGATAATTTCATTCATCCAACTTAATTTCAATACTCCTTGTGTTAATCAGGCCCAAGGCACTCTCCAATTGGCTATGATTTCAGATTACTTATGAAAAAACTGAATGAATGGATCAATAGATAAGTCAGTGAGTGAGTAGATAGAGCCCCTCCAATGTCTACTGCTAAGGAGAAATAGAAGAGGGTAATAATGAGAATATAAGAGAGTATAATAATTCTCCCATTTCTGTGTAAGGTCATTGGGAGCTTTTTGTTATAAATGAATCAGGCCCTTGGCTCATTTTAAGCAGACTACATATTGACTTGTTGTCTCAAGGCATTTCCTTAAAGTAAATGTGCATCTTGAAATGGATGCTTTGGAGTGTGGTTGTGATTTGATTCTGCATAGCAAAATTCTGGCTATATTACTTCAAAAAATCAATTTACAACTTGAAAAAGACTCAGAAAAAAAATGCCTTCTTCATAGGAAATAGTCTCTTTTAAGTATGTGCCATCTTTGAATTGATGGTATGATACTGCTTTTAGTGTTATTACAGTAGAATCTGTCACAATTGCACATAGAACTGAGGGAGAGGAAGTAGAAACGTGAAGATACCTGGAAGGTAGACAACAGTTTAAAGACCTCAATGCAGGAAGCAGATTAGAAGCCTGGCACGTATCTGCAATAAATAAAGGCAGGTTAGATTACCGTGGTACAGTAATCCCACTTGTTAAACCAAGAGCTGTAGTTCAGGAGTTTAACATTCATTAAAAAGCAAGAAAACTAGAAGAGATTTTTGAAACAAAGCTTAGTGTTTGGTGAGCAATGAAAAAAGCATGAGGGCATTATGTCATTGCATGCTTCATACTGACCTAGCAAAAGCTAGATTCCAACCAGAGACTATATAAATTACCATCACAAATTTTTCTTAAAGTTTGTGTTTTTATCATTGTGGTTAATTTTAAAAGCCAAATTCCTGTGTGGGCCGTAAACATAATTTCACAGTTAAGCAAAGAAGAGACCTTAGACTGAACGTCTTCTTCCTTTGAAACACATCCAGGTCTAAATCTCAAATACCAGAGAACATTTCAGGAGATTTTCTTGTTTTACGTGACAAAGCACTAACTACTAAGACTGACTATCGGATGCTTCTCCCAACCAAGGTCAAAGTGAATCCACTGAACTGCTCCAAATTCTCAGATGAGACCAACTTGAACTTGATCCAAAGGGCTTTACTTGTGGAAAACTGCTCTAAGGTAATCTTTCCAGGGAAGTTTATGCATGGGTTCTAAGAGCCTTATATTGAATCAGTAAGATCCAATGCAGAAAACGAACTGTTCTGTACATTTTGAAAAATAAAAAAAAATAAAGATATGGCTTATAATTTCAGAGGTTTTAGAGCATTAGTAGTGTCATGCTGTCAACTGAACATGTATAGCAAATGCAAATTCACCACAACCTGGTAATTTTTTTTTCTAATTAATTGACAAAACTGGAGTTGCTGAGGATGTTCCCTTCATAGAGTTAGTTTTTAAATGCCTAAAATTCATTTATCTGCTTATAGTTGCCTTTTTTAAATATCCACATAATAAAAGTGAATTTATGACTTGTTAACATATACAAGTATTCTGTATTTCCATGGCAACTCTCACGAAGCTCTAAACTTTAAGAAAAAGGCATTCTTGATTTCTGGTTGAGAATACAGATGTGAACAAGAACCAGACTTCAGTGTTGCCCCTTTTGGGTCCTTCCTCTTCTATACTTTATTTGCTGGTGGTTTTGAAACTCCTGTTCCCAAAATATGCTGATGCTTAAATAAAATGCTAACTTAGAGGAGACCAGAATACAAGGTTTATGAATATACGTAAGCTAACTGTTTGCAAATGGCCAGGTGCTCAAGATGAGTAATGAAGAGTCACACTTCATTTTTGTGAGTACATACATACATGGGTAACCTACTTAAAAATGTGTGTGTGTGTGTGTGTGTGTGTGTGTGTGTGTTTAGAGAGAGAAAGATTAGTAATTGAGCTTCAATTTCAAAGTGAATGAAAAGACTTCCTACTAGTTTTCTATTTTTAGAAATAATATATTTACAAGTTCCAAATATGTGGGGTTGCCATTTAAAATTTGGGGAAGTGGATGGTCAAATTTCTTGCCCATAATAGAACAATACAAATAAGTTGTTGCAGGGTGCATGTGAACAATATCTGGTCAATTTCCTTGAGAAGAGGTTGGGAATAAGCAGAGGTGTAAGATTTTAGAGGAGCTCCCTGATCTAGTAGATCTTTTAAAAATGTTTTTAAATGTTTTACCAGAAAATTCTAAAACATTATAAAATTTCCTTTTCAGACATTTATCCCTGTCTGAGGCAAAGATTGAGTAAGATGATGTACTCAAACTGTATCTCACTCTGACCACCAATCAATAAGTACTTAACTGGGTACCTGTGGTACATAAAAGGAACATAAAAGAATACCACCATGCTCATACATGAAAAATAGCTCTACTTTTGAGCACCTGGCATTGTTTTGTAGCTTGTTGAAAGCTGCTGTAGTAATGGTTCCAGGCCACAGTTTGACTGATCAGACTTCTTTCCACCTTTGGCTCCAGAGCAGTGACTGTCAGCCAGCTTTGGTATGAACAGAGGCGTGCATCCAATGGCCCCACTCACACAGAGGCAGCTAAACAAGGGGTTGGGCTGAAACACTTGGCCATTATGATAGTGTACCCCATTGAGCTCGCATCCAACAGCTACAAGGTCTGAAAAGTGAAAAGAGCAAAATCACCAAAGAAGCCATAACCTGTGACAGTCTGGACCTCCAATTATAAACCTGAGAAGAAATGGCTTATCTCCTGAATGAAGTATAGCTTTCAACCTCTTAGGTCTCGTTTGGAATTTCCTTCACAGGACATCTGTAGAAAGGTTTTTAAAATGAGGCTTTTTCATTATATTGTAGGCTATAAACCCCACATGGTCACTTCCAGAGTTAAGACCAAGTAAAGACCCTGCAAAATCACGGTAAGCATAGCAGTTGATAATAAATCTGAGCTAGGTTGATGCTTAGTGAGACAGGTTTTCTCAGACATCCAGCAATAGGCTAGGATATATTCTCAGAAAGACAGGATAAGTGACTATCTGAAAAAACTATAACTTAGTTAACTATGGAACTGCAAAGTACTGATGGTTTTTGTTAAGAGGTTGTAGGAGAGTTTCACTTCCTCTGAGGGGTATTCTTGACCTTCTAGATCAGCTGTTCCCCAAGTATGGTCCTCTAACTGCTTGGCAGTACCTGAGACACTTTCAGGGGATCTGCAAGGTCAAAACTCTTTTCCAAATACTAAGGTGTGGCTGGCGTTTTTCACTGTGTTGGTATTTGCACTGGCGGTACAAAAGCAATCATGGCTAAACTGCTGGTGCCTTGGCATGAATCACACTGTAGAGGTAATCTTGTATTTTTCCTTGCAGGCACTTATACTTTAAAAGAGGTCGGGAGAGTTTTACTTAACAATGTCCTTTATGGCATAGTAAAAAGTATTAATTTTATTAACTCTTAATTATCAAGTACTGGTCTTTTTAGTATTCTATGTGACAAAATAGGAAATATATATAGAATATTCTAGTGCAATAGCTGTCTTGAAACTTAAGCAAATAGCTGTCTCAGGGAAACTTAAGGAACTATGTCATTGGTAAAGTTGTGAGCTGAACTAACCACTTTTTTTAGTAGGAATTTACTTGAAGAAATGACTGACAATAAACTGGTTATTCAGACTTGGGTATTTTGGAAACATTTTTTTTTTTTTAATGAGCAAAATAAGCCTGTCACTTCAAGGAAAACGACTGTGACAGCATTTTTTGCCAGTGAGAAAACTCAAGATTTCAAGGAAAAATCAGAATTTTGGAAAACTCGTATCCATCACTGAAATCTTTGTATTTATCCAATATGTAGATTCTTCTGATGAGGATGATATTAATGTGATTTTTTTTAGCGTTACATAATTAAGTGTATCAATATTTTGGACATCTCTACATCACAGTAAACATATTTTCCAAATAAACAATGCATAGAATGGTAATATTATGCATGAATAAAAGATCTATTCCAAATGGGTCTTGGATAGACCAATGCATTTTAATGTCACAGAGCTGAAAATTCATTGATGTGGTTTCAAATTCTCTGATGCAGCTAATTTTTAAGACACTATCACTTGTCAAGTTTTAATATAATATCAATAAACATAAAAGTATATTCACAATTATCAGAAAAACCTTTTAAAATATTCCTCCCTTTTCAAATTATATAGCTGTGTGATGCTAGATTTTCTTCACATACTTCAACAAAAAAAAGCACATAGTAACAGGTTGAAAAAAGCAATAAATATGTGAATCTAGCTAACTTCTATTGAGCTAGACACTAGAGAGGTTTGCAACAAAATGTAAAACAATGACACTCTTTTACTAAACTTTTCTTTGGCAAATAAGTTATACATATTTTATAAAAACATATTATTCTTATTAATCTGCAATGGGTTTATTCTTTGTAAATTAATAAATATTTCTAAGTTTCTAATCCATCAAATATCAACGGATAAACCCCACATAAAATCTCTTTAGATCCTCATTAATTTCTAAGAGTATAAAGAGGTAATTTCTAAGACTGTAAAGGGGGTCCTCATATCAAAAAGTTTTTAAAACATTGCTCTTGATCAGGGATCACCAAATTTTCTATAAAGAGCCAAACAGAAAACATATTAGCCTTTGCAAGCCAGAGAGTGTCTGTCAAAACTACTGACTCTGCATCGTAGAGCAGCCATAGAATCTATGTTAATGTACGTGCCATGTTCCAATAAAGCATTATTTACAGAAACAGGCTATTGGCTAGATTTGACCCTATATAGTTTGGTGTCCCAGTTATAGATTATCCCTATTACTATCCTCATGGCTATGCTCTGTAAAAAAGTCTCATCACATTTTGTGTGAAATTACTGTGGAAATATCTGACACCTTAATATTTGATTCTCTGAGGCCAAGGCTTGTATCACTTTTTCCCTGTCATATCCTCAGTTGCTGGCCACAGTGAATGGTCACTAAGTGTTTGTTGGGTTAATGAAATAACCTGCCCAGCTTGGGAGAAATGAGTGTCCTGAATGCCATTGTTTGATAGGTCATGTTTTCCTTATAGGATTCCAATAAATAACATTTTTGAGAACCTACTGAATACCAGATATTGTGCTAGGTGTTTTAGGTCATTTTATTTGATCCTCCTAGCAACTCTGTAAGTTAGGAAGTGTATATTATGTAACTGAGGCACAGAGAGAATAAATATCTTGATCAAGTATGTTCACTTGGCAGAGCAATCAGGACTTGAACCCAGATCCCACATTTTTAACCATACAATACAGGGCTGGCAGGGTCATCAGGCTATCAAACTTGAGTTTGACACATTCAGTCTGACTCCAAAGATAGATTCTCATTCCGTGGCTCATAACTGTACCTCTAATAGTAATCTGCCTTCCTTCTTAGACTTTTTTACAGACAGACTAAACTGTCTGGTGACATAAGTATTTCTCTTCCCTTAGAAATTTTTTTTTAATCCTAAATAATTTGGCATCCTGAATTAGTGTCAATGTTTAGATGGTCTGAATCAGTCTCCAAAGCTTAGTAATATAAAGCTGAGGGTCAGGTTGTGGTTTGGGATGACTTCACCTTTTTTTTTTTTTTTTTTTTTTTTTTTTTTTTAACAAATCTGCTGAAGTAAAGCACAGCAACTCAATCATTAGTTGGGAAAGCTGAGGTTAAAGTCATATGTCTGAATACTGGGTATACATTCTAATATTTTTAAGCTGACTATTTTTTGTTACGGAAAAGGCTGAATTCAGATTGTTTTTTGACTGTATTAACTAAAGCTGTCATTTTGTAGCACTTTAAGAAGTCAGACTCTATTTGGATAATTCCTCTTACCTTCAATCAGTAAATTACCTGAGAAGAACTGCAAGATCACCTTAACGCAGTGAAAATAATGGGTTTCTAAATGTGTGTAAGCATCTGCTAATATAGGATCCACTACAATGGAGACAGTCCCACTAGTGCATGAAAACTAAATCCATCTCATATTTAGCCAAATTGAGCTCATCACTCAAAGCTAATTGCAGGAGAAAAAAAAAAAAAGTCTGTCTAGACTCAATCTTTTCCAGAGGGTCCAGAAGAAGACACTTACATGCACACACTCCGGTCTCATACCTAGGCCTGTCTCCTGAGTAGTCACAGTACAGCCCTTTGTGTGGGTCACAGAGGTCAGCTTCATTGCACATTTCCCCTGGTTGCTTGGCACAGATTTTACAGCATCCACAGCCGTCTCTCACCAGGCTCACTCCAGGAGGGCAAAGGGGCTTCTGATGAGGGCATTTGCAGGGCCAGTGGCAAAACTGTTTACGCTGATGTGCATCTGATGCTTCTCTAGGCCTTCCTTCAGGTGTTGTATCTAACGGTCCAGTGCGCTGTGCCCTGCAGCAGAACTTCATTTCATAATAAAAGTGATGTTAGAAATAATTTCTGTATGTAATAGTATAACAGGAGTAGAATATTTCCCCCAAACAGGTAGTATACAGTGTGGGGAGTTATAATAATAATAACACCTAACAGCATTTGACATGATTACTCTCCTTAAACTAGTCTTCACTCAGCCTCCAAGACATCACTCCTATTCCTCCTTTCTCACTGACTGCTCCTTCTCACTCTCCTTTGCCGGTTCCTTCTCATCCTCTTCATCTGTAAACCTCGGAGCCCCATGGATAAGATCTCTAAACCATCTTCCCTCCCTATTTCTCTTATCTCCGACTCACACCCCTCTTCTGAACTCAGACTCAAAGTGCCTACTTGACATTTCCACTTAGATGTTAAATAGGCATAGCAAATTTAATATGACCAAAAGCAAACTCCCACGTTTCCCCCTCCAATCTGCTTTTCCACGCACTTCTCTATGTGAGCAAATGCCAATATATTTCCAAAACACCTTGAGATCAGATCATGCTTGACTCTTCTCTTTCACATTTTACATCTAGTTCCATCAGTAAATCCTGTTTATTACACCTTTAAAAATACCCACCCTGATTATTTATTGATACCTTCTCTGTTACCATGATGATCCACATCACCATTGTTCACTTGGATGATTACAATAGCCTCCTAAATGTTCACCTTGCTTGCTCCTTTGCCCATCTGACATCTAGAATGATTCTTTAAAAATAAGCCAGTTTCTAGCCATGTGCAGAAAGCAGAAACAGGACCCCTTCCTGACACCTTACACTAAAATTAACTCCAGATGGATTAAAGACTTAAACATAAGACCTAACATCATAAAAACTCTAGAAAAAAATCTAGGCAAAACCATTCAGGACATAGGCGTAGGCAAGGACTTCATGACCAAAACACCAAAAGCATTGGCAACAAAAGCCAAAATAGACAAATGGGACCTAATCAAACTTCACAGCTTCTGCGCGGCAAAAGAAACAGTCATTAGAGTGAATCGGCAACCAACAGAATGGGAAAAAATTTTTGCAGTTTACCCATCTGACAAAGGGCTGATATCCACAATTTACAAAGAACTAAAACAGATTTACAAGAGAAAAACAAATGAGCCCATTCAAAAGTGGGCAAAGGATATGAACAGACACTTTACAAAACAAGACATACATGAGGCCAACAAACATATGAAAAAATGCTCATCATCACTGGTCATCAGAGAAATGCAAATCAAAACTACACTGAGATACCATCTCACACCAGTTAGAATGGCAATCATTAAAAAATCTAGAAACAACAGATGCTGGAGAGGATGTAGAGAAATAGGAACACTTTTACACTGTTGGTGGGAGTGTAAATTAGTTCAACCATTGTGGAAGACAGTGTGCCTATTCTTCAAGGACCTAGAAATAGAAATTCCATTTGACTCAGCAATCCCATTACTGGGTATATATCCAAAGGATTATAAATCGTTCTATTATAAGGACACGTGCACATGAATGTTCATTGCAGCACTGTTTACAATAGCAAAGACCTGGAACCAACCCAAATGCCCATCGATGATAGACTGGACAGGAAAAATGTGGCACATATACACCATGGAATATTATTTAGCCATCAAAAATGATGAGTTTGTGTCCTTTGTAGGGACATGGATGAACCTGGAAAGCATCATTCTCAACAAACTGACACAAGAGCAAGAAATCAAATACCGGATGTTCTCACTCATAGGCGGATGTTGAACAATGCGAACACATGGACACAGGGAAGGGAGCACTACACACTTGGGTCTGTTGGGGGGAAATAGGAGAGGGTCAGCGGGGGGTGGGGAGTTGGGGAGAGATAGCAAGGGGAGAAATGCCAGATATAGGTGATGGGGAGGAAGGCAGCAAATCACACTGCCACGTGTGTACCTATGCAACAATCTTGCATGTTCTTCACATGTACCCCAAAACCTAAAATGCAATAAAATAAATTAAAAAAAAAAAATAAGCCAGTTCAGTTCATATCACTCTTTGCTCACATGGAGTAGCTTCCTCATGACCTCCCATTTCAATGCAAAATTCAAACTACCGCCACGGCTCTGCATCACATGGTCCCCCCCTCCCCATATTGCTTTACCCACTACCACTCACCCTCTTGCTCCCTCCACACCAGCTACAGCAGCCTCCTGGTTCTCTGAATACTTCAAGTAACTCTGCCCCTAGATATCTTCATGGTTCACTCTTATTTGCCTTTAGGTCTGTGCTCAAACTTCTCAGTGAGACCTTCTTTGGCCACTCTTATCCTAGTCCTTCCACCATAGACTTTATACCTTTCTTAATACCTACACATTTCAGTTGTTTACTTTCTTATACCTGCACCAAGAATGTGAGCTTCTTGAAAGCAAGGTGACTGCAATCTTTATAAATCATTTGACATGGTTATTTCACTCAACCTTCACAGCAGCAGTGCACAGTAGTTATTATACTGTGTGATCGGCAGATAATGGTCCCCTCAAAGATGTCCATGTCCTCATCCCAGGAGCCTGTGCATATATGTTACCTAAAACAATGAAGGGAATTTTCCAGATGTGATCAACTTAAGGATCTTAAGGTTATCACTCGATTATCCAGGTGGGCCCAAGGTAATCACAAGTCCATTCGGGTCCACCTGGGAGGAGGCAGGCATGTCAGAGGTGTGATGGCAGAAGCAGAGGTAGGAGCAATGCCATTGCTGAAAGTTGTCATGAAGGAAGCCAGACAGCCTTGAAAACCTGGAACAGGCAAAGAATGGATTCTCTGCTGTAGCCTCCAGAAGGGAGGCAGTCCTGCTAACAATTGATTTTAGCCCTGTAAGACCCATTTTTGGACATCCAATGTCCAGAACTGTAAATAATCATGTTGTTTTAAGCCATTCAATTTGGTAATTTCTTAGAGCAGCAATAGGAAACTGTATACCCCATTTTATCAATAAGGACCCTGAGACTCAAATTATTTAAGTTGTCTTGTGTCACAGATCAAGTAAGTGATAGGAGAGTGATTTAAATCAGGCAGGCAGGTTCCAGAGCCTAAGCTCTCAACACTTACCCTCCTTCCTTTCCTAGGCCAAATCCTACTGTAAACCAGCTCTGATACTTGTTGAGAAATGCTGAGTGTATGATTGCTGAGAAATGCTGATTGTATGATAAAATATATTGTTTGCTAAGAACAGTGGCAAGGAAAATCCAGCCACCCTCACCCCAAGTGGAAAACTACTTGGGGCATTCTAAAGTAGCAAAACAGTATATGTATATCATACACCGGTGAAAACAATTCTTTAAGCACGGGATATGTGACCCTTCCCCCGTGGCTCCCTCGTGGAGAATACTTTCTAGTTTCTCCTTGATTGGTGGTAAGCAGGCATCAGCTGCCTACCTAGTTTATCTTGGTTCTACAAGAAAACACAGAACACCTGTTTGTTAGTAATAATCACCTGTTCAGAGAGAATAAATAATGTGGGTCAGCATCTGCTCAAGGCCCTCAGTTCAGGATGCTGTCAGCCCCTTAAGGCTCTCAGCTCAGAAGCCTGTTAGTCCCCAGAAAGTCCCACTTTGCTGTTCTATCTGGGTGTCTGCTTCCCAGCACCACCTGGGTAGGGGTCTCTACAGCCGAGCTGGTCTCAGTAGATACTGAACAAATCACTGAATCTCTGCATCTATTTCTGCAGCCTAAACCTCATCCCTTAAGCTTGTGACTTATTAGTTGCTTCTGGGCATATGCAATTTGAGGTTCTACAATTACCCTCCCCTGACGAACTGCTCCTCAACTAGCAGCTCCCATTTTAGTGAATGGTGTCACCATCCACTCAGGTGCCCAAGTCAGGAAGCTGAAAACCATCTGGATTTCTTCCTCTCCCTCATCCTTCACACCTAAACATGTCTGGCCTGCGGGGAGGGTGGAAACACTTAAGCACAGCATTCAGAGCCCTCCTCTTGTCTTGCAGTTCTTATAAACCTTAGGTTCCAGAAAGCTAAAGTGCCTGCAGTTCCCTGCATATATGATGCTGTTCCTCCTACCTGAGGCATTCTGCCCAGACCCTGCTCCTCCTCCATCTAGTTATCCTTCAAGGTTCTGTTTTGGTATCATCTTTTCCAGAAAGCTTCCTGTAACTTCCCTGCCTTGCACACGTCTTTGAAGGGAAATGACGCATGTAAGTGCCTATCTCTTCCAGTAGCCATAAAGCCACCCAACCTCAGGTGCTTGTGGTTCATTTGAAAGTATACCACCAGCACCCAGCACAGTGTCTGGCAACTGGCTTATGTAAATAACTCTCAATGCTTATTTGATGGAACCAGGGGCTATTGGATTGATTCTTAGATCTGAGTCACTTCACAGCTCAAAAACTCTGCATTTAGAAGTATCTGTATGAAATTCCACCAAATATTAAACCCTCAGCCTTTTTTTCTCACCACCAGTAAAACACATATACTGCAGTAAAGAGTAACATTTCAGCTTTGATTCCAAAGTTGCAAGCACAACGTGAGAATGGGATTTGATGGGGGGAATGGGACAGTGCTGGGCTTCTGGAGAAGGAGCAGGGGAAAAGGAAACACCAAAGTGGAGAAGGGAGTAGGAATAGTGAAGCTAGAATCCTAAAAAAATTTAAACTTAAAAAAAAAACTTTTGCCTACTTATCAGTTTTACACAGGCTCAGCTATAGCCACCAATGATTCAGGATGCCAGGTTCAGTGACCTCTTTGCCGGTCTCACATTCGTGAAATCTCTTCAGTCCTCCTATTGCCCCCCTTCTCTAAGGCATTTGACTCTCCTCTGCCTTGGATTTCATTACATCTGGTCCCCCCAATCCTCCCCTTATTTATCAACATACTTTTTCAATCTCCTCCACAGGCTCCTGTTACCCTGAATTTGACTTAGATTTAGGGCTATTGGTGTTTCATAACTTTAACTTTTTGCTCATCTCACTCTACACACTGTCTCTTGGATCTCTCACCCACCGCTTTGCCTTCAGTTTTCATCCTATGCAAGTTCAAAACTAAATTTCCAGCCCGGATGTCTCTACGGAGCCCTGGATCCATGAGCTAACTACATACTGGACACCTGCACCCAAATGTCCTTCAGGAAATACTCAAGTCCAAAAGTCATCATTTTTCACCCCTCAACATTTGGAGTCAGGAAGATAGGCCTCCTCTAGGCCGTCTTCCTCTCCCTCACCTCCTGTGGCCGTTCAGTGACCTATCCTACTTATTCTATTGTCCTTGTATTCCCAGAACTAGACACTCTTCCCCATTTCATGGCTACTAAGTAAGCACCGTCACTACAAGTTCCTGACTGACCTTCCTCCCTCCAGAATGACTTTTCAAGTGCATCTACTACATTGCCGCTGCAGGAATCTCTTTAAAGAACATGTCTGGTTGTATTACTCCTCTCCTTAAAGCCCATGGGTGGTTCCCCACAGTCTATAGTGTGCAGGCTAAACTTCTGAGTAAAGCGTCCAAAGCTTCTCTGTTCTGGTTCCTGCCTACCTCTTGAGTGTTAGCTCTCACACATTCTCCTTCCATGCCTTTCCATTTGCTGGACTCCCTGAGTTGTTTTTCTCCGCCCTGCTTTTCCTCGTGTTCTTTCTAATGAAATGCACACTCCCAGAACTACCCCCATGAAATGCCTCTTTATCTTTCCAGTTTTGAAGCATTTCCAGATCATCTCTGAGGTCAAAAGGTAACACTGTTGAAATCCAAGGATAAAGAAAAAATCATAACAGTAGACTGAGAAAAAGCATTACATAGAGAATTACATTAAACATGAGGTCTGACTTCTCATCAAAAGATGGAGAAGAAAGAGATGGAGGAGAAGATGCCCAGAGACAATGCTGAAAGGGAAAAAAATCTGTCAACCCAGAATTATATAGCCAGTGAAACGGTCTTTTAAAAACGAAGCTGAAATAGCCTGTAATCCCAACACTTTGAAAGGCCGAGGCAGGTGGATCATTTGAGGTGAGGAGTTCAAGGCCAACATGGTAAAACCCATCTCTACTAAAAATACAAAAAATTAGCCAGGTGTGGTGGTGTGCACCTGTAGTCCCAGCTACTAGGGAGGCTGAGGCAGGAGAATCACTTGAACCAGGGAGGCAAAGGTTGCAGTAAGCCAAGATGGTACCATTGCACTCCAGCCTGGGCAACAGAGGCAGTCTCCGTTTCAAAAAACAGAAAATCTTGAACAGTAGACTGAGGAAAGGGGGAAGCATTACATACAGAAGTACAATAAAACTAAGATCTGACTTCTCATCAAAAGAAAGAGGAGGAAGGAGAAATGGAGAAGAACAAGGTGCCCAGAGACAGTGTTAAAAGGAGCAGGGGCGGGGGGAGGAAATCCTGTCAACCCAGAATTATACAACCAGTGAAACCATCTTTCAAAGATGAAGGTGAAATAAAAACATTTCTGGATAAACAAAACCTGAGCGAAATTGTTGCTAGTAGATCTGCCTCACAAGAAATACTAAAGGAGGATCTTGAGTCTGAAGATATTCTGTTATGATAGTAACTCAGAAATACAGGAAAAAATGAAGGGGCCTGGACATAGTGAATATGTGGGTAAATATAAAGAATTTTATAATTTTCTCTTTTCCTCAGACACATTTTGATTGTTTTCAACAGCAAAATCTCAGGACAGCAAGAGTCAGTAGAATGGTACAATAGAAAAATTTTAACAACAGATCCGAGCCTTGCAATAGCTCTGTGATCTTAGAGAATTTCCCATCATTTAATCTCCTCTGTAATATGGGATTAATAATGACCACCTTGTAAAGTTGTTTTGATGATTAAGATAATACCAAAAGCACTCTTGGGCCAGGCAAGGTGGCTCACACCTGTAATCCCAGCACTTTGGGAGGCCAAGGTGGGCAGATCACTTGAGGCCAGGAGATCGAGACCAGCCTGGCCAACATGGCAAAACCCCATCTCTACTAAAAATACAAAAATTAGCCAGGCATGGTGGCACAGCCCTGTAATCCCAGCTACTCAGGAGGCTGAGGCAGGAGAATCGCTTGAACCCAGGAGGCGAAGATTGCACCACTGCACTCCAGCCTGAGCGACAGAGCGAGACTGTCTCTAAATAAATAAATAAAGCCCCCAGCACAGTATTTGGCATATAGCAGATATTCAGTAAATGCTAGGTATTATCAGATATTTTATGAATTTATGAATTCATAAAAGCAAAGTTAAGTACAAAATAATACATTCTTACCACTCTGCGTGTAACACCTTTCTGTGTTTGTTGTTTATTTTGTACACATCTCTCTATGTTGGAATACTTGCTGTTTAAGAACAGGTAGCCTCTCTCAATCCACAATGATAGTTTTTCTCAAGAACAGTGGAAGAGAAAACACACTGCCAAGGGGTGCACCCCTCCACGTGACAGCAGCAATGACCCAGACCACTGACATTCTTATTGTGACTCTTTTGAAATTGTAAATCTCTCCATATATGGTATAACAATTTCCAATCCCTTGTTTCCTAAGATATATCTACTACTTACAGCTGCAATCAACTACTAACTCACAGACACAGCCATGTTTTCTAAATCACCAGATTTCAAAAGCTCCATCCCCTTGTGCCAACAATTACCTCCACCGTGTAAATAAATCAACAATTAAGTCACCTTGTTTCCATCTTATTTAAAAAGACTAAGGCAGTGAATTGCTCATCATAAATTAAACTTCCTTTTGGCCCGTTGCTGGAAATATTTCCAAGCTCCCACGGACTGATTCTCTTTCAGGAAGTGAGAAACACATGGACTGAGAAAAGACAAAGTAAGAGAATGCTTTCAAAATGTAAATGTTTGTTCCAAAGTGCCCCTTTCAAACAAGGACAGGCTTCACTGGAAAAAGTCACTGTCAAGATTCATTTTTCCAGGGGCTCTTTGCACAGTTTGCAAACGGCTATGGAAAGTTGAGCCTCCGCCTGGAACTGGCATGGAGAGAGAGTTTCCCGTACCATGCCAGGCTGTGCCTTAGGCTCTGCTACAAAAATCTATAGGAAAGTGTGGGGCTGTTCAAACATATTGAAAGGGGGCTTCGGTGCCATTACCTCAAAGGGAGAAACGTTTTACGTTTCTTGCATGAAGCTCAAGAACTAACACAGAACTTTCTCTGGAGAGGAAAATGGCTTCCTATTTCTTATGAAGTATTTCCGCAGGCCATTTATCCTCCCTCTTTCCCCATCTTCATTTTGTTTAGCTTTTGGCCTGAAGCACAAGAATGGCTGTAGTCTCCGGAAGGGAAAGAGTCGGGAGAGAGGACTTACCTGTGCCAGGCCGGCAAGGAGAAGAGTGGAGAAGAGGAGCCCCCGCATGTCGCTGGAACCGTGGAGCCACCGTGAGGGACAGAGAATTCGCTGCTTGTTCATTGCTCCGGGTGCACAAAGCTCCCCTGTCTCCTCTGCAAACCCCATGCGCCTCTGCACAAGAACACACACCCTGCACCTCCCACGCTACCAACTCGCAGCCTGCACTTTCATTTTTAAGGATCCGTTTGAACACCCTGTTTACTTTCATGGGATTCTTCTAATACCTGCCTTCGTAGTGAGTGTGACACAGGTCAGGAGTGGGCGAGCACTTTCCTCCCAGGACGCACAAGGGCAGGACAGGTAGTGACTATTCTCTGACTGACTGTGCCACCGGCTCCTGGAGAGCAGAGGCTGCCTGGACAACAGGTGGGGTCCCATGTCGCTCCCTTCCTTGCCCTCAGCTTCTCCATTTGTGTTTGCCCTGCTCCGGGTCCTCTCTGGGCTGCTTCCTTCTCCCCCTTCACCCTCGTGGACAGAGTGCAGGCCTGGGCGCCCCACAGCACCCATTGCAGTGTAGCCCTGGCTTTCCCCCTCCATGTTAATGACAGGCTCTCGAAGGGCCCTGATTCCACCCACTCAGATTCTCTCGGAGGTGCCCACAGTGCCCTGGGCTCACCTTCATCCCTACACCTTTCTCACACCAGGTGGACTGTGGGTGGAAAAAGTACAGATGGAGCAGGGGGCGGACTCCTACAGTACCTGGCCTGAGAGATGCCTCTTTCTGGGGCCACAGTTCCGTGACAGATGGCAATGAAGTTAAACTCCATTTTTCCAGGCCTAAAATCAAACAATTACACAGGTAGCGATCATTCCTTTAATGAATGAAGATTAAACATAAAATGTTGACAGGTTTGCAGTGCTTCTCGTCTTCGTACTCACCTCCCTGACACGTGTGGCCACCAGCCCATCTCCTCCTGTGCATCACGTGTGGCCTTCGCTTCTCCACGTTCCCAGCCTGGGTCTCTGTTCCCATCTTCACTTGCCACTGCACTGGTACTCCGTCCCTCTCAGATCCAGTGTCCAACCCACTGCTTGCCCCATCCCAAGGCCTGTTTCTAGTTCCTTTGACCCGGTACCTATCCCGCCTTGTCCTGCTGCCTTACCTATCCTATACACATTGCTCACCTTCGTTTCTGCTCAAGACGGTCACTACTCTATAAAGACAATGTCAAGCCTCGCTCAGGCCTGAGCTGAGGGCCTGGGAGAAAGTAGGCTGTCCTCTGCCACAGAGAATCTGGTGTCTTTGGAGAACTACAGACACCCTAAAACCTGCAGACTATACATAACTTACTAAGGAGTCAGTTATACTATACGTATATACACATTGAACAACAAGGAATACCCAGCACAGTTAGGGTGTCAGTGTCTTATCCTGCTTCCCTAAGATATAGGACAAAACCAGAGAATGGAGTAGTGAAGAAAATGGGTCTGTTTTGGTCCAATCTGATGTTTTCATCTTCCTGGTTCACACCATTGATCTGTGGGTTCCCAGCCTCAGTGATTTCCACACCACACCGGCCATCAGGATGGATAATTTCATGTTTCTGGTTTGTCTATGGAAAGCAGAGTCGTCGCAGCCCAGCACTGGGGCACTCATCAGCTGTATCACTCCAGCTCCAAGTCTCCTGGTTCCATATATAGTAATGCACATATCTGTGCTATGTTTGAATTTAAGGAGTTTCACCCTCTTCCCATTTGCTCTCTGTGAAATGCTGGCAGCAGCAGGCGTTTTTCCAGAATCATCTTCCGTCCCTCTGCTGTCTCACTGCTGTGGAGCAAGGGAAGACAGATGTCGACCATCCTTGCCTCTTGGTAGGAAAGGAACATCTTGCTTGAGAAGTAACCTGCAAAACCTCCCCCAGCTCCAGAACACACTGGCTCGGGGTTACTCACTCTCGCATGTGTTTAGACATTGTTAGCTGTGGGAGCTCCCATTTAACTCTTTCCAGCCTACTATGGGTAGACTCAGTGAATATGGTATTTTTAGAGGTTGGGGCTGCTATTTCTGACCTTACACAATAAAAGCTATCACAGTGTGTGTCCTGCTCTGAGCATGTTTTCCCATTATCTCATTTAACAGAAGGCTCATCTGCCTAGGAGCTCATTTCACAAGTACTCAGTTTGTGATGTATGTTCAAATAGACATGGCGCTAAGCATAACTCAATGTGTACCATGTTTTATGATTTACAAAGAAGTTTCCCATGTATTATATTTTTTAATTTTACGGCTCAATGAGGTGAGCAAAAGCAGTATTACCATCCTCATTTAACAGATTAAAAAGCGAAAGCTAAGCGATTATACTTGGTCAATAAAACACACTTAATCTGTGCCCTCTACAGCTAAATAATCTGCTGGTAGAGAAGACGCTGAACAAATAAACACACAAAATATCTGTCATTGAGAGTTGAACAAAGACTAATAGTAGGAAAGAAGAAACTATGAGAGAGAATGACAGGTGGGAGCTAATTTAGATTGGGGCAGAGAGGATGTCTGAGAAAGTGATGCATGGAGTCGAGAGATGAAGCCTGTGAAGGCTTGGGAGGCGACTCGCAGCCGGGCATCTTTCCACCGGCAAGATGCACACCCCTCACAGTGACCAGCTCCCCACACAGAGCATATCCCACTGCTCTTCCCATACGATTCCTAAAATCATTCCATTAGGAACATCATCACCTCTAGAATGGTCCCTTCTCCTGGGAGTACCAGCCATCCGGGCAGGCAGCGTTCAGAGCTCATGCCTGTGGTCTCAGCACAGTATGAGTCTTCCTTTCTTCATCCCCACTTTCCTTATCTTCCTATCTTACTGGTTGTGGAGAAGGGAATATTGACAGCCTTGAGAAAAGAAACAGATATCATTTGTATAAGTAATGTGTTGAATGTGTGCTATGAGGGGGGTCAATATTTGCTCCTGTGAAACTAGAGATAAAGTCATAATAACACAGCCTGGGCAACACAGTGAGACTCCATCTTTACAAAATAGAAAGTAAAAAATTAGCCAGGTGTGGTGGTGTGTGCCTGTAGTCCTAGCTACTTGGGAAGCTGAGACGGGAAGACTGCTTGAGCCCAGGAGGTTGAGGCTGCAGTGAGCTATGATCACATCTCTGCACTCCAGCCTGGGAAACAGAGAGAAACCCTGTCTCCAAAAAAAAAAGAAAAGAAAAAAAAGGTGTAATAATAATAAGAGCTAACACTGAGTGGGTGTCACTGTGTCTCAGTATTGTACTGAGTGTGGTATACGTATTAGCTCATCTGACCCTTCAGCACCACTGTGCCCATGTGCTGTTATCACCATCTCTGCTTTACTTATTAGGAAACTGGAGCAAGGTCACATGGTTAACAAGAGGCAGAATGAAGATTCCAAGAACTTCATTACCAGGCTCTGCTGCTCTCTGCATGGCAGATAAATGACACCATGATTAGTAGCAGAATGACTTATTGAGAAATCAATTTGCATTGAGTTCTCAGTATTTCTCATCCACCTGCTCCCCTCCTGAATTTCAAGAAGTTAGTGAGGCCCCTTAGGGTTCCCTCCTATCCATCCTTTAAGCACACAGTGGAAGCTGCTGGAATGCTTTATCTTGACTTTTGAGATCCTGCCTTGTTCTCACTGGTGAGTGGTGATGCTGGGAGAGGAGGGGGAGGAGTGCAGCTGAGGGTTGGGTAAGGACTGGGCATTCAGGCCTCCCCGTGCAGCAGCCCAGGAAGGCAGCTAGAGCTCAGAGGGACTTGATGATTCATGGTGCTTCCAGGAGACTGACCCAGTACCAGAGTGCCATGTACTGGCAAGTTCCTCAAAGAACTTCATGAGGATGCAAAGCCTCCTCAGAGGCTATGCAGTGTCTATGCAGACTTGGACCACAGAGGTATTGGAGGAAAACTTAGGAACTGATGATCAGAGGCCTGGCCTCTTTTCTAGGCACCTTGTAGGCCTGCTGGATTGTTGTTCAACCCCCACTCGTGGTGGCAGTGGTGTGGGTGGGTGGGTGGTCATGATGGTGGCCATGGTCTCAGGGTGCGGAGGAATGTGCCAATGATACCTTAGAACAAATCCACCTCAGGATGGAGGCAGGGGAGGAGGGTTCAGAGTCTGGTTTAATTTGAATTAAAGGAAATGAAGCTGTGAAGTCATACTCATACTTGCTACAAATACCCTAAGCTTCACAAAACTGCCATTCTCCTGGAGTGTGGACTCTCCCCTGAAAATTCACAGAATTCAGAACCAAAACCAGTGGGGAGCATCTGTACCGTCTCCCATAGCTCTCTGTCCACTCCTGGCTGGGCCTGCAACTGGGTCTGTAATCATGCAGCAGCTCTGCCTGCCAGGTGGTACTGCAGGCCCAGCAAGGCTGAAGGACGTTTGCATGGTAGGTGCTCAATAGAAACTTGGTGATTTAAAAGGTAGTCCCTTTAAATCACCTTATGCTACATACTGTATACTACCAAAGCTAAGCATGTCTATAATTTTGCATACATTTATCCATTGCATCCTTCCCTGCCATTTGCAAACTATTACCAATTACAGTCACATGTTGCTTAAAGACAGGGACATGTTTGTTTTTTTTTAATTGCATTTTAGGTTTTGGGGTACATGTGAAGAACATGCAAGATTGTTGCATAGGTACACACATGGCAGTGTGATTTGCTGCCTTCCTCCCCTTCACCTATATCTGGCATTTCTCCCCATGCTATCTCTCCCCAACTCCCCACCCCCCACTGTCCCTCCCCTATTTCCCCCCAACAGACCCCAGCGTGTAGTGCTCCCCTCCCTGTGTCCATGTGTTCTCATTGTTCAACACCCGCCTATGAGTGAGAACATGCGGTGTTTGATCTTCTGCTCTTGTGTCAGTTTGCTGAGAATGTTGGTTCCCAGGTTCATCCATGTCCCTACAAAGGACACGAACTCATTGTTTTTGATGGCTGCCTAGTATTTCATGGTGTATATGTGCCACATTTTCCCTGAAAGACAGGGACATGTTCTAAGATGTGCGTTGTTAGGTAATTTTGTCATGTGCAAACATCTTAAAGTAACTGACACAGACCTACTTGGTATGGCCTGCTGCACACCCAGGCTGTATGGCGGAGGTTGTGGCTCTAGGCTACAAACCTGTACAGCACGTTACAGGACTAAATATTGTCGGCAATTATAGCACAATGATACGTATTTGTGTATATAAACATATAAGAGGTACAGTAAAAAGATCATATAAAAGATTTTAAATGGTCTCCCTGTATAAGACATTTACCATGAATGGAGCTTGCAGGCAGGAAGTTGCTCTGGGTGAGTGAGCGAGTGGTGAGTGAATGGGAAGGCCTAGGCCTTTCCTGTGCTCTACTGTAGACCTATGAACAAATAGACTTGGTGTAGCCTATTTTTTCTTCAATAATAAATTAACCTTAGCTTTACTTTATAGGCTTTTTAACTTTTTTTAAACTTTTTGATTTTTTTTGAAACTGTCTCATTCTGTCGTTTGGGCTAGAGTGCAGTGGTGCGATCTTGGATCACTGCGACCTCCACCTCCCAAGTTCAGGCAATTCTCCTGCCTCAGGCCCCCAAGTAGCTGGGATTACAGGTGCACGCCACCACATCTGGCTAATTTTTGTATTTTTAGTAGAGGCAAGGGTTACATCATGTTGGCCAGGGTGATCTCAAACCTGAAATGATCCACACACCTTGGCCTCCCAAAGCGCTGAGGTTACAGGCATGAGCTAATGCACCGGGCCAACTTTTTGACACTTTTACAACACAGCTTAAAACACATTGTACTGCTTTATAAATAAATAATATTGATCATAAATAAATTAAATCTTTATTCTATATGCTTTTTTCTATTTTTAACTTTTTTTCTTTTAAAACTTTTTTTTTTTTTTTTTTTTTTTTTTTGAGACGGAGTTTCGCTCTTGTTACCCAGGCTGGAGTGCAATGGTGCAATCTCGGCTCACCGCAACCTCTGCCTCCTGGGTTCAGGCAATTCTCCTGCCTCAGCCTCCTGAGTAGCTGGGATTACAGGCACATGCCACCATGCCCAGCTAATTTTTTTTTTGTGGTTTTAGTAGAGACGAGGTTTCACCATGTTGACCAGGATGGTCTCGATCTCTTGACCTCGTGATCCACCCGCCTCGGCCTCCCAAAGTGCTGGGATTACAGGCTTGAGCCACCATGCCCGGCCTCTTTTAAAACTTTTTTAAATTAAAAACTATGACACAAACACCCACATTAGCCTAGGCCTGCAAAGAGTCAGGATCATCAATGTCACTGCCTTTCACCTCCACGTCCTGTCCCACTGAAAGGCCTTCAGGGGCAAAAACATGCATGGAGCTGTCAGCTCCTACGATAACAATGCCTTCTTCTAAAATACTGCCTGAAGGTCCTGCCTGGGGCTGTGTAATAGCTAACTTTTTTAATAAGTAGAAGGATTACACTCTAAAATAATGATAAAAATATAGTAGAGTAAATATGTAAATCAGTAATGCAGTCATTTATTATCAAATATTATGTACTGTACATAACTGTATGTGCTATACTTCTTTTTTTTTTTTTTTTTGAGATTGTCGCCTGGGCTGGAGTGCAGTGGTGCAATTTTGGCTCACTACAACCTCCACCTCCCGGGTTCAAGCAATTCTCCTTGCCCCAGCCTCCCAAGTAGCTGGGACTACAGGTGCCTGCCACCATGCTAAGCTAATTTTTTTTTTTTTTTGTATTTTTAGTACAGACGCGGTTTCACTATGTTGGCCAGGCTGGTCTCGAACTCCTGACCTCATAATTTGCCCACCTAGGCCTCCCAAAGTGCTGGGATTACAGGCGTGAGCCACCACACCCAGCCCTATGTTCTATACTTTTATAAGACTGGCAGTGCGGTTGCTTTGTTTACACCAGCATCACCACAAACATCAGATGCATTGCACTGTGATGTTGGAATGGCTATGACATCACTAAATGATTGGAATTTTTCGGCTACGTTATAACCTTATGAGATCACTTTTGAATATGTGGTCTGTCATTTACTAAAACATCATTATGTGACGTGACTGTACTGCACGTCTCACCTTTTCTCTATATGCCTTTCTGTTAAAAGCATCCCATTTTTTTTACAAAGCCCTAGCCTCAAGATCCCAACATGACTCTAGTCATAAGTGCATGAGAGAATAAGTTTGTTTTCTCTTCTTCCTCCACTAACATGTATAGAAGCCTTGTTCATCAACACCTGTGCATTCTCTGAGGGGCTGTTCTGTGTGTGCTAAGGTGCTGCCAATGCCCCCCACTATGGATGGAGGGGCAAAGAGTCAGAGGCTCTGCTTGGTCTCCTATCTAACTTTTAATAAACCAGGTCCAAAAATGAGCAACCCCTGACCACCACAAAATGCTCTGCCCAGCCATCTGCGTGGGGCTTGGGTCAGAGCCTCCTTGAAAATAAGCAGGTGTCCTCCTTTCAAGGGCATTTTAAGGAGTCAGGCTTTTGCCCAAGGAAAACAAGGCCAAATATCTCAGAGGGATATAATTCATTTTGTCACTTGGCCTTGTTAGTCTGGTTTGCAGGGGGAGCTCTGTGTGGGGAAATAGGGTGGAGTTGATCAGAGGCAGACACCAAGGCCGACCACAAGCGAAGGAGAAGGGAGAGAAGAAATATTTTTTAATATTTCCAAATGTGAGTGAAGCTAATCTTTCAGAGAAGGAAAAGTATGCATAATGCGGTGTGTCATTCCTGATTTGTAAAATAGTTGCACATGTGAATCATAATTCAATTAGATAGGGACAGTGACAGACATCCTGGACCTGGAGTCAGAAGATCTGCATTCACATTCAAGCTCTGCTACTTTGCTGAACTCACTGATCTCGGATAATTTCCGTCAGGCCTCCCTGCCTCCCAGCTTCCTACCTTCCCTAGTCCAGCCTCAACATTGCTATTTGATCTCTTTTTCTTAAACACAAATTTGATCATGCCACTCTCCCATTCAAAACCCCTTTTTCACTCCCCCTGGAATAAAAGGCAGTTCCTGGGAACAGGGTAGAAGGCCTTGCACAACAAAACAACCTCACCCCTGCACTCTCCTTGCCTCACCTCCCAGCTCGGGCAGCACAGACCTGCTGTGCTGTGAGTCCCCCAGCTGCTTGCTTTTGCTTATGTGATTCTACCAGGACAATCCTGCCCACTCCATTATCTGATGAGCAGTTTGCACAAGTGACTTCTCCCCTGAGAAGCCTTCCTAACCAGCTCCTACAGCAAAGCTCCTCAAGCAATTAGTCTGTCACCCTGCCCTTGTAAAACCTGTACTGCAATTACCTGTTTAAATGCAGGGTTGCAGGATTTTGCTTATAAAAATAATGATAATAATAGATGCCAGCTAACTGCTTTAGCATATATGGGAGACACACTAAAAACAAATTTCTTGTTAACCTGAAATTCAGATTTAACTAGACATATGTTCATATGGCTTGTCCCTACTAGACTGGGTCACTGAAAATAGAGACTCAGACATCATCGCCTTGGTACCCACAACATGACTGACCTACAGCAGGAGCTTGGCAAATATTTAGAGTTTCCAGTCTTAAAATTACGAATCTGACAGGCAAATGAATAAACACTGCACTGACTTTGTATATGCCTTCTTAAGTGAGATCTACATTAAGTGAGATCTAGATTTTGCAGAAGGCTAAAAGTTACCCTTCTGCAAAAGCTAGACTGCAGTCTCCAGACTGTCCAGCTTCAACCTGCTATGAGCCCTTGCGGACGCTAGATGGCGCGATGGGCTAATGGACCAGACCTGCTCCGGGGTCCCGGCGCCCCTATATAAAAGCAGGCGCTTCCTCTGCCGCAGAGCCCTGCATTATTGATTGTGACGCTGCTGCAGAGGCGGGAGGAGCCCGCCGCCATCTCGCCAAGTCTGCAGTATCGGGAACATGCCTTTAGCATCCTTTTCTCTCTCTGCAAAAAGTCCCTCGATGGCTGGAGAGAGAGAGCTCTCTGTTGCACACATGATTGTTTTCATTCATAGGAAAATCAGACCTTCCCATAGTCAGAATCATTTTCATTTCACATCGTCATTCTGCATAGCGGCACCAAAGAAGAGCAGCTGTACTTTTTGAAAGCCACTGCCTTTGAATCGGCACCTATTGTAAAATATTACCAAGTCACTGAAAGGCAAAATAGTCGGGGGCGATGGGGAAATTCATCGTCTCTTTAGGTTTCTCAACTACAAAACATTCTTATAAAAATAGATGAAAGTACTACGGGCGTAAAATAGTTTCATGATATTGATTTAACCACGGCCCTATTTTCAGCCGGCATTCATTGGAACCGGAAATCTGCATCTTAGAACTGAAAAATGCTGATCTGAAACTAAACCGTGGGTGGGGCCTCCACGCCGTCCCCGCCGTGGCACCCTTCCCTCCCGGCCAGCAGAGGGCGCTCAACGGGCAGTCAAAGGGACTCTTGCCTCTGCAAACATTTTATTTTAGCAGAGAACTGAGATGTCTATTTACTCACCAGTGCTTTTTTCAGCCAGTGCCTTTCTTTGAATATAGATGTGCTGATTAGAGTGCTGTATTGTTCCCTCTCTTGGTGAACCACACAGATAATGCATCCTCCATGTTGTCTCATTTGAGTTTCCTTTGTGAAATGAGAATTTAAAGACAGTGTAAAGCATCTTGACTAAAGAATCTTAGATTCTGTACTCATAACCATCAAATATAATCCAACAACACATTTAAAGCAACTTTTCCTCGTTGAATCTTTCCCAAGCATTTTGCTTCTTTTCATTGGAAACACTTCCCCTTTCTTTGTGTACCTGTGTGTCACTGGTTTCAGTAATATTTGCTCAAATTGTGTAGTTATCATGATACAATTAAGTGGAATGAACAGGCTAGGAAACAGGCAAACAACACAGTGAGCCTACTAAAGAGGAGCCTCCCGTCCTACCAGCTGTGAGAGCTCAGTGAGCTCAGGGCATGTTTGTATGTTTCACAAAAGAAACGGAGAGTTAATCACCAGGTACCTGGCTGTCAGTCAAGACAGCTTCCACCTGAATTCAGAAAGGTTATCATCATTGTTTAAAAGAAATACACACACACACACACACACACACACACCACTTTGCCAAATCCACATGTAATGTAATTGAATCAATTGCTAAATCAAATGCTGTCTTAAGACTTGACAGAACAAAGCTGAGCTCACACTCACACACACTAGGACTGTTCATTGATGCGGCTTATCCACAAAAGACTCTCTAAAGTGAACCTCGTGTCATAATTCCAGAATGTAGAAAGCAACTCTTCAGTCCTGGACGGTGGCTTTCAGAATGTCATCTGTGTTCTGTGCATGCCAGTCACAAAGACACTGCCCTTACCCGCCCCTCAAATTTTATGTCCAAACTTAGTACGTTCAACTTCAGTAAGCAAGAATATCAGTTCTTGAACTCAGGTGCACAATAAATATCACATATTTTTGGAATCCTTTAAATCAAGTTGCATGTGACTCCTAGTCCCCCTTTTACTGAGCTGTTGGACAGCTGAATCATAATCATTACTGAGCACCTCCTCCGTCCTGGTTTGGGTCAGGGTTCCAGGTCCCTGCAGCCCACAGGCAATGGTTCCTTCAGGTTTGACAACCCTGCTATTTCAATAACAGCCTTGGGGCATGAGAACATTGCTGGAAGGTGCTATATCTAGGGACCAATCTCCCTGCTGGAGCACACTGCCAAGGAGAAGTGAGCAGCTCTCATTTTCACAGGGCAGCTGACCAGTCTTGGGGGCGGAGAATCTCTTCCAGCCACCTAGCTGCTCCAAAAATGTGCCTCTACCTCCTCCCACTCTAGGAATTTACTGTGAACAGTAGTATCAGCTGTAAACCCTTTCAAACAGGATGGTGTCCCCCCCCCCCACCCCCATCCCAATAAAACTAAGGAGCTGCAGAAACTATATGTGTGGATTGGCACTGCATGGGAAAAAGTTCTGTTCCAATGGGAGAAAGTAATGCTAAAGATTCAAAGCCACTTTGATCAAAAACATTCTGTCTTTTCTGGACAGTTACAAAAAGAGGAAAGATGGAAACTTTCCCACCAGGGAGAACATGGGAGCTCTGTTTCGGGGCTCTTACCGCATTTCCATGTGTAAACAATTTTGTTAGCCAGCATTTTCAGTTCACACATTCCTTCAGTCCCACCTCTAATTAAGTGCATTACATTTTTAGTATCAGTAATAAATGTCCCTTCAACCCCCCTATTACCATTGCATATTTTTTCTGCAACAGAAAAGGAATAACTTATGTGATGTAAATGTTGGCTTTGAGAAAATGAATAGGGAAGTGAGTCAGGAAGTAATCAACAGGAAACATAATGGTGGGAATGAAAGCTGGGACTCACAACCCCTGGGATCTGGAGGGTGAACACAGGTCATCCAGCCACTTCCTTTAGGGAGCTCATTATTTCAGAGACAGCACACCATTGTTGAAACCCTGTGTGGCAGTACTACCCAGCAGAACTTTCAGCAATTAGGGAAATAGTCTGTAATATAGAACTATACTGTGCTGTTGAGCATTTAAACTATGGCTTGTGTGACTGAGGAACTAAATTTTTTATTTTATTTAATTTTAATTAATTTAAGTTTAAATAGTCATACATGGCTAGTAGCGATCATGTTGATAGCATAACTCTGAAGTCTTTTTTCTTTTTTAATCCATAATTTATCCCTCACATATTTCCATAAATGTTTTTGTAAGCTAAGACAGCTTACCAAAAAATCAAACACAGTATGAAACAGGAGAATTGAATTTTTTTTTACTGATTGAAAAAAATAGTAAAAGAAGAGGAAAGCTCTGTAAAATAGGGCAGAGAACTAGACACTCCCAGACATGTGGAATGAGTTAGTCAGTGCCTCTGACAATTAAATGTATAAAAAAAGAAAGAGAGAAAGAAAATTAAATTTATTTCTAAATTGCTGGAAAGTAAAGCAAAAATGAAAAGTCATGCAGGAGGCAAAGGTGAAATTTGTAGTTAACAATTGTTTGGCTGCCCAGAAGCACTCAGTTCCTGAAAATGGTCACCTTGCCCCTGAAGCGCTCACTCTCCCCCATCTCTTCTCCTTGGTATGGCAGAGCCTCCTCTGGGTGAAACCCCTGGGACTTAACCCAAGCTGGCCAATCATAGTCCTTTCCTTGAGACATGACGTGAGACAGAAAAATGTGGTGTCCCCATAGACTGATGGATGGATGTGTGAAACTTGGGGTGAGTTGAGCTGAGGGACAGGGGACAGCAGTCAGCACCAAGGCAGGAGACGGTGGTATGGTGAGGGTCACTAGCACAGGCTCTATATTCACACCTGCTCTCTTACTACAATAGCTGTGTGACATTGGACATGTGCCTTTACTTCCCCAGGCTTCCACCTCTGAAACATGGAATAATTTTAGTTCAGATTTTACAGAGTTGTTGTAAAAATAAATAAATAAAATGCAATGAACCTAAGTGGAAAAAGTGCCTAGGACATAATAAATGCTCCACAAATATTATCAATTATATGAATATTAGAAGCAGAGTCCTAAGGGCATTCATGTTTTTGGATTTGTGTCATTCCCAAAGTCTAAGCATTGGCTCCATTGGATTCCATGAGACATGCACCTTCCCCACATCCTTTTCCCTGTTTTATTGAGCTGTAATTGACAAATCTCTCCCATATCCTTAAAATAAAATTTCTGTTTTGCTTAAGCTAATTTGGATCGGGTTTCTGCTAGCTGCCTCCAACAGAGTTCTCGGTTGTATGCCACCTTGTTTGGAAGTCTAACTTGTCGTCTTCCCTATGCAGAAGGCTGGGTATGCTGCAGGAGCACCTAACCCTTGCAGACTCTTCACAGGCAAGGGATATGGAATAGGAGAATGCAGATGGACCCACCGTAGTAAAGATACCTTCTTTAGTGAGCATTTGCCAAGCGTGGGGCTGCTTATCACCCACACTCTCTTCCTACTTGGGAATAAACCTCCCAGAATATGCATCCTGGAGAGACATGTGGCTCCATCTCCTATGATAGGATCTGGAAGTTGCCACGTCGAGGTTTTCTCCATCACTAGGCTCCATGCACTGTGTTCTTCTCTGAATTCTAGGTAGATAAGAACAGGAAGACCCACTGCCTAGCCCTGTTCCCAACACAGTAGATGAGAATTGTCTGTTGAACAATGAATAAGGGAGCTAGTTAATGAGTTAATGTGGAAGCAGTAAACCAAAGCAGAATGAGGGGTCCACTGCTCGTGGGCACCAAGAAGGTGAGTGTTTGCCCTGGAATATCAGCCCTGCCAAAAGCTTGATAATGGAGAAAGGGCCAGGCTGATGAACCAAAAAAATCTACTCATCACAAAAATATGAGGTTACTGGTCTGTTTGTTTTTCATTATGAGAAACGTTTACAAGGTAAACGTTCTGTTAAAGTAATGAGCACATCTTGCATGAGACAGACACGCACTATGAACGGGTCATTGATGGAGCAAGTTATGATCCTATTTGACGGTGGAGTTAGATGCGCCAACACAGTCAAAGGAGTTCACCACTGGCGTCTGTGGGGTCTCTGACTCTTCACTCTGCATTCATCCAGCTCAGCTCCCACGGGCCTCTGTAGTGGCAGACTCACCCATACCTGGCTCATAGGTGTTTGGATGATTTAGTTCATCTTTCAGGGCCTTCATTTCTGATATTCCCCTACTCTTCACTAAATGCAAAACAAAGAAGGAAAAGAACCATTTCTGACAATGTTTATCATCTATAGAAATAAAATTATATTTCTGTTCTTTTCTGCTTCTTAATGCATCAGGGAACACAGCCAGATAGATTTCCACCAATTTGGGGTCCCCCAACTTAAAATATTGACGAATTGGTGTTTGAAAGGGTACTGTGGAGGCCTTTCAAGCCTTTCAGGAGGCATAGGAGCCAGCCTGACTGCACCTGTGGGACTGAGATAAAGTCAGAGGCAGGTGCACAGCAGGCCCTCTGGGTCACAGGCTTCCAGTGAGGGGAGCTGCTTTTCACTAGGCACCTCCAGTCTAGCCCAGTGCTCTTAGGCTGCATTGCTCCTACAGATCACCCAGGCATCAGGACCGGGATCTGGGTGGGGCGGGAAACTCTGCCTTTCTAACCAGCGCTGGTGGTTCTCAGACCCTACTTACAGTCGGAGGTTCAAGCGCCAAGATGAGCAGCACAGACGGTTATTTACTTATCAATTTCCCAGAGTAATTTCCCGTACAGCAGATACATTCAATAAAAGAAACCTGGAATCTGGAAGAAAAAAATCATTTCACACACAAGCATCCCCACTTGCCCGAAGCAGTGGCTCTCAGCTTTGGCTGCAACTGGAATCCTGTGGGGAATTTACAGTATACCAGTGCCCAGGCCCCACCTCAGGCCCATGACATCAGCGTCTCCAGGGGTGAGACCCAGGCGTCAGGGTGTTTTAAAGCTCCCTGGGTGATTCCGATGTGCAGCCAGGGTTGAGACTGGCTACCCTAAATCAACTCTTTCCCATGAGTCACTGGCATGAACTGCCAGCCCCACCTTCCTGTTCCTTCAGCTGGCTTCCTGTGCCTGCAATGGTGACATCTCAAGCCTGCTACAGCTATGTCGCCCCTTAGATTTGGAGGTGCCAGTCATCAGCCCATTTGACACGGAGGCTATTTCTATGGGCATCTAGGTCTCTGCTATCTGCCAGGACACAGCTCCCAAAGTATGTTCTGCACAACACAGATTCCACAGAGATGCTCATAGATGCTATTCAAAACAGGGAATAAATGCATTTTGATTAAAATAGTTTGGTTAAAATCAACCAATTTATTTACTGAGAGACTTCTCAAATCCTTTACCCAGTGCACTCATCCCCAATAGGAAGATATGACAGGCAACATTTTCCAAATAAATTTGACCATAAAAACATTTTTTAAAGAAAAAAGAAAATCCAGGAAACAGGCTTTGGAACATACTGCTCCCCCAGGGTATAATTTAAACTTTAAATTGTTTGGATGTTCCTTAATATTTTCAATATTGTTAGTAATCAATTTTACTCAATTGACTAGTGTTTTTACTAGTAACTACCTTATGCTCACTGTGCTGTATTAGGTACTGGGAGATATAATTCACATGAAATGATTAGAAAATAGCTTCACTTAACTGAGTTGCATTTTTAAAACAAAATGACATTATTTTTTAAAGTTAAGAATAAAAGAGAAGGCTACATAAGTTGAGGAGGTCTTTGTGGAGGAAGCAGTATTCTCCTTGAAGACCTTAAGAATGAGTAGTGTCTACATGTGCAAGAGAACACAAGGACAGAAATCTACTTCGAGGAAATGGCATGAACCAGAGCCTAAGTGGAGGAATGAGTGCAATTGGGTGTGATATGGGAATAGGGGATAGGGCAGGAGGGGAAGTGAGTGGATCAGCCTTAATACAGTATCAATGGGAACACTGAGAGTATGCAATAAAAATTGACCTTATTCATAAGGAGATACCCAGTTTTCCCAATGAGATCATGTTTAAAGAAAAATTTCAGTAGCCAACCTGAATGTGTAAACTTGTAAGGAGGTAGATGAACTAATCAACATCTTCTTGTAATATTTGTTAACATAGTACCCATGCTGACACAGACTGAATTCTCCAGAAACAGATGCTGAGATGGAATTTGGAATGTGAATGTTTTTTAGAGATCAATACCTGTCAAAGAAAGAGAAAAGAAGCAGGATTTAGCAGAGAAAGATATTAAACTGTGATACAAGCCTGACAAAGACTCCACCAACCCTTCAGGGAGATCTAGAGCAAATGTTGCCTACCAGAGTTACCCTCAGTGAAGCCAAAGTGGCCAGGGCTTTCTGTCTTTACCTTGCTTGATCACCTGATGTGGACTGACCCAATAGTGAGCCCTCAGGCTGGGGAGGTCTAGGTGCTGACCCTGCTGAGGAAGGCCCTGTGGTGTCAATGTGTGGGCAGCAAGGCTTTCCTTGAATGCACATGCTTGTTTACAGTCATGTCTCATGCAACATACAAACACTGCTTTTCTCCATTTTCACATTTTACACATCAGTCTTTGAAACTCTTCTCATGCATCACTATAATCACTTACAGGCATATTTTGAGTCATCTACCACAATTTTACAGAGTACCTCATCTCTATGGTCATCTAAGGTATTGGATATATGGCATTACTTCAATTCATGTATAAAGTTATTGTCCAAGCCACAATTTACCAGTTCCACCCCGTTAGATGAGTTTTTATACCCTTCTTCCTATAGTTGCATACTCATGATCTCCACAAAGTACCTTCTTACTTTATTTTTAAAGTAATCTTTCAAAAATAATCACTTTTAAAGTCTTAGAAGAGAGGTCACACTTCCAGAAGTAATTACTAAACTGTATTTGATGTCTTTTTTTTCCTCCTTTTTTTTTTTTTTGTTCTAACAAGTAGTCTCAATAAGCATCCCAAGCTAGCACTGATTTCAGTCTAAAATGTGATCCCCAAGCAGTGATTTTTCTTTCCGAATAAAGTAATTGAGAAAATATGCACATTGGCCAGTGCCGTGGCTCATGTCTGTAATCCTAGCACTTTGGGAGGCCAAGGCTGGTAGATCACGAGGTTAAGAGATCAAGACCACCCTGGCCAACATGGTGAAACCCCATCTCTACTAAAAATCCAAAAATTAGCTGGTTATGATGGTGCTTGCCTGTCATCCCAGCTACTCAGAAGGCTGAGGCAGGAGAATCACTTGAACCAGGGAGGGGGAGGTTGCAGTAAGCTGAGATCATTTCAGCCTGGCAACAGATCAAGACTCTGTCCCCCCAAAAAGAAAATATGCACATTACCAGTGGTTTTTCAAAAGGCACCCAACTTTGTAAAGACATATATAAAGTGACTTTCTATTTGTCAAGAGATTATGTTGGGAAAGAAATCTTGACCAATATTTCAGGTATATGTGCCAAGTTTGTCTGGGTGACATGAGGCCAGATCACCGAAGCACTGAAGATAAAGGAGAGTCATTTAGATGGACCATCACTGTGGTTATGAAACAGGAAAGTAGCCTGATAAACATCATCTTAGGAAACTCTGTGCAGCTAAAGACATTTTAAAGATGTGTTTGGGGAAATATTTTGTAAACCAGTAGTCATCTAATAACTGTTATAATTAGAAGTTATAATAGCTTGGACTTTAGGGATGGCACAGAAAAGAAAATGAAAGAAGTTAATGGAAACACATTTCTAAAGAATTAATAACCTTGAAGGCATGTTGGATGATGGAAGCATAGGAAAGTGAAGAGCCACACAGGACTTTAAGAACCTAAAAGGAACACCTCATTTTTAAATTTATTATTATTTTTTTATTTTTATTTTTGAGGCAGAGTCATGCTCCGTCATCCAGACTGGAGTGCAGTTATGCAATCTTGGCCCTCTGCAACCTCCGCCTCCTGGACTCAAACGATTCTCGTGCCTCAGCCTCCAGAGTAGTTGGGACTACAGGCACCTGCCACCAAACCCGACTAATTTTTGTATTTTTAGTAGAGTCAGGCTTTCACCATGTTGGCCAGGCTGATCTCCAATTCCTGGCCTCAGGTGATCCACTCACCTCGGCCTCCCAAAGTGCTGGGATTATAGGCATGAGCCACCCAGCCCAGCCTAGGAGGAAAACTTTAAATATGTGGTCAGTATATCCTTAAGGAATGGTTTTATAATAATTTTATAACTATAAATTAATTTCTAGTTGATGACTTTCTTGAAGAGGTTTTAAGTTACCCGTGCAGAAGCCACAGCAGGACACAGGGCCTGCCTGTGCACTCACCCACCTGCCCAGCCATGGTTTTTTTGTCAAAAAACAAAATCAGGAGTCTTTTTCTCTGCTGTCAGAATGACCACCCAATGTAAGATAATCCTGATAAGTCACTGCAGGGGCCTAAACTGCATGGCAGCCTCTGCATTCACAGATGCCACAGAATTCTCAGATGCCCCCCATGTTCCTACCTTCCTGGGCCACGTTACTGTCCTTAATCTTGCAATCAATCACCATGATAAAAGTTTTTACTTGGGAGCCCCCAGGGCTGGTATCTTTTTATTACTCTGATTTCCACATTTAGCATATGAAAGATGATCCACCTAGGAAAGTAGGCCTTGATTAGATGATTAGTTGATTGGTTGATCAAGACTGAAGAGAGAAACTTAGACAGCCTTCTGATCTGCTCCCAAGTATACACCCAGCACCCCTCAGACTGTAGTGTGCACACAAATCATCTGCGGGAGCTTGTTAAACCGCAGGTTCTGGTGGGACCAGGCGCGGTGGCTCACGTCTGTAATCCTAGTGCTCTGGGAGGCTAAGGCAGATGGATCACGAGGTCAAGAGATTGAGACCATCCTGGCCAACATGGTGAAACCCTGTCTCTACTAAAAATACAAAAAATTAGCTGGGCGTGGTGGCGGACACCTGTAGTCCCAGCTGCTCAGGAGGCCGAGGCAGGAGAATCACTTGAACCCGGGAGGCAGAAATTGCAGTGAGCTGAGATGGTGCCACTGCACTCTGGTGACAGAGCAAGACTCTATCTTGAAAAACAAAAACAAACGCAAAACAAAACAAAAAAACCCACAGGTTCTGATAAAGTAGGGCTGGGGTAGGCCTTGGAATCTGCATTTCTAGTAAACTCCCATGGTGCCACTTCTGCTGGTTGAAGGACCACATTTGTGTAGAAAGGTCTTCCCTATAAAGACTAGCAGAGAGCCACTGGGAACTGACCTTGCCAAGGAGTGTATGTGCACATAACGTAGATCAGGAAGGTATTCATGGTGTTGGAAAAGCCAGGAAGCTAAAGAAGACAGGGACCTCAGAGCAGGTAGACTCAATCGGTAAGCCTCACCTGAGATGCCCTGTAGCTAGGATGTGGAGGCTACATTGACAGTGAAATTATAGGAGTCGGGGAGGCCTGCAGAGCAGCTGTCAGTCTCCTGCCTCTCAGAGGAGGGTGTGGAGGAGGGGCACTAATTTTGGCAAGAATGAGGACTACTTTATTATGGAGAACTCCCTCATTATGCAGTTAGAGAACAGCGTGTGGCACATTCCGGAGCCTACACGGCTCGCATAAGGATTCCACTGTTAATTTTAAAAAGAGAAATAGCAATGCAACTTTCTTAACTCCCACACCATTCACACATTGAATTTGTGTGCCAACTCAAAGCGTACCCACTGGAAATGAAAACAGACTTAAAGCCAACCCTTCAACTGAAGCTTGTCAAGCTGCAGATATACAGGGGAAGAGATATACAAGGGAAGGGATTTGTTTTCTTTCTCTCCTTTCAAATAAAATTTTTCTCTGTGCCATTTAAAATTTTTCTATGCAAAATACAGTTTTTCTCTGTGCCATTTCTCTGTGGGAAGTATGAAAATGGCCATACTTCCCAAAGTAATTTATAGATTCAATGCTATCCCCATCAGGCTACCTATGACCCTCTTCACAGAACTGGAAAAAACCATCTTAAACTTCATGTGGAACCAAAAGAGAGCCCACATAGCCAAGTCAATTCTAAGCAAAAAGAACAAAGCTGAAGGCATCATGCTACCTGACTTCAAGCTATACCACAATGCTACAGTAATCAAAACAGCATGGTACTGGTTCCAAAACAGAGATATAGACCAATGGAACAGAACAGAGGCCTTGGAGGCAACACCACACATCTACAACCATCTGATCTTCGACAAACGTAACAAAAACAAGCAATGGGGAAAGGATTCCCTGTTCAATAAATGGTGTTGGGAAAACTGGCTAGCCACGTGCAGAAAGCAGAAACTGGACTCCCTTCCTGACACCTTACACTAAAATTAACTCCAGATGGATTAAAGACTTAAACATAAGACCTAACACCATAAAAACCCTAGAAGAAAACTTAGGCAAAACAATTCAGGACATAGGCATAGGCAAGAACTTCATGACTAAAACACCAAAAGCATTGGCAACAAAAGCCAAAATAGACAAATAGGACCTAATTAAACTCCAGTGCCTCTGCACAGCAAAAGAAACAATCATTAGAGTGAATCGGCAACCAACAAAATGGGAAAAAATTTTTGCAATCTACCCGTCTGACAAAAGGTTGATATCCAGAATCTACAAAGAACTAAAACAGATTTACAAGAAAAAAACAAACAAACCCATTCAAAAGTGGGCAAAGGATATAAACAGACACTTTTCAAAAGAAGACATATATGAAGCCAACAAATATATGAAAAAATGTTCATCATCACTGGTCTTTAGAGAAATGCAAATCAAAACTACATTGAGATATCACCTCATGCCAGTTAGAATGGCGATCATTAAAAAATCTGGAGATAACAGATGCTGGAGAGGATGTGGAGAAATAGGAACACTTTTACACGTTGGTGGGAGTGTAAATTAGTTCAACCATTGTGGAAGACAGTGTGGCAATTCCTCAAGGACCTAGAAATAGAAATTCCATTTGACCCAGCAATCCCATTACTGGGTATGTATCCAAAGGATTATAAATTTTTCTATTATAAAGACACATGCACATGTATGTTCATTGCAGTGCTGTTTACAATAGCAAAGACTTGGAACCAACCCAAATGCCCATCGATGATAGACTGGATAAAGAAAATGTGGCACATATACACCATGGAATATGAGTTCGTGTCCTTTGTAGGGACATGGATGAACCTGGAAACCATCATT